AATGGAATAATGTTTCTACGAAGTCCACTTCTATATAAGAGCCAATCGCCCAATCGCTNAGATTTTCTACAAAGTGCACTTCTATAGAAGAGCCAATTGCTCAAGATTTTATTTATACAGAACCCATATAGATCCTTCAAGGTGAAAACTCAACCCCTGTTACAAAAAAAAGAGAATCTCGCAACAAATTTAATGATTTCAGACATTAACTGAGCTAAGAAAAGAAAATATCCATTTTGGCCATGCATTGTGTGCTCAGATACCTATTGGAAATAAGTTATAAAAATAACTAATAAGTTTTTTTGGTGAACAATAGACTATTTATATTTATAGACTATTTATTACGATAGATTTTTCATTAAATTAAATTAATTATTCATATAATATATGNCTGAGCTAAGAAAAGAAAATATCCATTTTGGCCATGCATTGTGTGCTCAGATACCTATCGGAAATAAGTTATACAAATAACTGATAAGTTATTTTGTTGAACACAAAAAATTAATGACTGAATGTGCCTATAATTTAGATAAAAAACACACATTAAAATATAAGAATTGTTTTCATATAAAATATAAGTAATTCATAATGCATTTCATTTATCTACTTAGGTGTTATGTTGTATTTTCGTTGTGGACAACCAAACACATACATAAGTCATTAAAGAGGTAAAAATTAATGATTATTAATTGTTGTACTTTTTAAATCAAAGGTTGACCATAAAAGATAATTACAACGAGACCCTGGTAAGGAGGTTCTGCGAAGTCTAGAATGTAATCAAAATTCTTGAAATTATTCTAGGAGAATATTCAATATGAATAATGTTTCTACGAAGTCCACTTCTATATAAGAGCCAATCGCTCATGATTTTATTTATACAGAACCTATAAAGATCCTTCAAGGTGAAAACTCAACCCCTGTTACAAAAAAAAGAGAATCTCGCAACAAATTTAATGATTTCAGACATTAACTGAGCTAAGGAAAGAAAATATCCATTTTGGCCATGCATTGTGTGCTCAGATACCTATTGGAAATAAGTTATAAAAATAACTAATAAGTTTTTTTGGTGAACAATAGACTATTTATATTTATAGACTATTTATTACGATAGATTTTTCATTAAATTAAATTAATTATTCATATAATATATGCACCGCACATAACATATTTAATCGATAGTAATCTAATTAGGTTTCAATATGTTATGCTGAAATATACAAAATTAACACTACTATAAATGAAGATATATTAAAAAAAAAAATTGTTACCTTTCTTTAAAAATGTCTAATATTAGAATAAAGCAATTATGTAAGATCTTAGTACCCTAATGAGAGTACTTCTAATATTCCAAATGCATAAGCCAACAAAATGACAATAAATGATTGGAACAGAATGTGACACCAGGAAACATGAACTAACTTAACTTTAATCATGACAACAGAAAAATAAAATAATTTTTTGGATCATGTCAGTCAACAAATAATGCTACCGCAGTCAAGTTTCATTTATTTAGAGAGTTTGCCTTTTAACTTACAGATGGGCAGCACTTCTAGTCACTTACTTTTGCAAATGTGTATTACTTAATGATTTTTAAAAAGAAAAAATGTATAATTTTATACTAGCAGTAGTGTTTAACATCAAGGTATAAATTTTTTATTTTACACCTAAATCATGGCTAGAGGTAGAATTACAACATAACCTTACACTGTCTGTAAGCTGGTCATATAAGTTTTTATAATTATTAAAAGAAATGAAATAAACAAATATTAACAATGTATGCAATTTATGTATATAAAGGGAAAATAAATTTATCCAGGGGTGTACAAATACATTTTTTGGTATTAATATAAGAATTGATAACAAGTAGGTATATAATATTTAAGCTGATGACAGTTATTCTTAACAATTAATATATTATATTAATAGGTATCAGCCACTCACCCGAGGAACGACAACGACAGATGGTTTCACTTACACGACGACATTGGCACCTGTATAAACGTCCGCTGCGACGTCCCAGCTTTAACCTCCTGAAGACACGTGCTAAAACTAACTACAGCAGCACAAGCCTGCTAAAGAAATGCAACCGCAAAAATCAATAACGACCGATACTATATAACTTATCACCGCACCCAAATCATACAACAATTTTGCAAAATACTCGCATGACCATACAATGAGCTCCTTTTCCACTGAAAAAAATTTTATTGAGAAATTGAAAACAATATTATTGGTGCACAAAAAAAAAATGAAGTAGTAAAACCCAAGAAAATGAAACAATCACGGTGCCCTGCTCCTATGAGAAGCCGCCTACAAACATGTTTATAAAAACCTGAAAGAATCTGCAACAATATTTGTGAACAGATTGATCGTATGCAAATACTAAATAACGTTGAACATGTAGGTACCACAGCATTGAATGGATTGATTCACTTGTGCGAAGAAAACCTTTTTGACGTTTACCATGTGGTTTTCCCCAAACTTAACATAAAAGGACTATAAACCGCACCAACAACTAATTAAAAACTGTAACATGCGAAATGTAATGCAAACATGTGTATTTACAATGTAAAATATATAATAATTAAAAGAAAAAATATGTTAAATTGCGTGCAACCACGTGCTTTACTATACCAAAATATGACATGAATGCAACAGAACGACGGAGCAACTGCTTCAGACAAACGACGATCCACGACAACATGGACGACGCGAAGAAGTACGAAACAATACAAATACAAAGGAATAATAGTGGCTGGTGGCGGCATAAGTTGATAGCGATCGCATACCAACTGCCAGTGCTACCGAACAGGGTAACTACTATGATATAGGAAGTAACCATGGCGCGAAATTTAAAATAAATTATCATGTTTAAACAATACCGATATTAACCGATATTACAAAATTAGCTGTAACACGTAAATACCAAGATCGACTGAAATTTGTCGTACAATCAAGAATATCGTTTTGCAGTATTTCCATGAGGAGTTGTTCTACTATAAATTCTATTTTGTTTTCTATGGCGTATCACGGCATTTAGGGTTAAAATCACATTACCTTATTACCAGTCCAACATCACACGTGTAACTGAGTGGTCTACCCGTTATTTTTTGTAATAAAAATTTTAAAATGTTTTTATAATATCAGCCTAATAACTGTGAGGCTGAAGGGCAGCTTTTCATTGATGACGAAACTATTAACAACTCTATGTCATTAATACAAACAAGATTACCTTATTCTGCATACACATTTAATACATATTTTTATTTGATTTTGTTTACCCAGAACTACAAACGTGTTTATTAAAGAACTAAAAACATAAACATATTCACTAAGTAAAAGTTATTCTTTCCTATACATTTCAGAGAAGATAACCATTGTGTTTTAGTTGATGTTGATTTTGAAAACAGAACTATAAACTATTATGATAGTATTGAGAATAGTAGTTATGCTTTTATGTAAGTAATAGTGTCTTATCTAAGTTTAGAAGAGGTAATAAAATAGGTAAAATATTTCGACAAATAGAGATTATAAAATGTCAAGGATTGCACCAACAAAATCATTGGGATTGTAATGTATTTCTTTGTGCTTTTGCAAAACAATTAAGTAAGAAAGCACTTTTAAATTTTTCTCAAGATGATAGAATAAGGCGCCAAATTCTTTTAAAATTAAAAAGAAAAAATTAAGAAAACTAATGCCTAAACTTAATTTGTTGTTGAATGGTGATGTTTAACAATATTTAAATAATATTTGTTTTTCTCAATTTTATAATATTTCCTCAATTTGAATGGAAATATCCATTTTTAAACTTTAATTCATTTTAAATTCTGAATGTAGCGAAGAATGTATTGGTTTTATTTATTTTAATTTTTTTATATGTTGTACACAAATTCTACTGGAATTCGTACTTTGATAATAACAAGGTTGATGGTTTTAATTCAAGAGTAGCACCGACTTGTTTTAAATTCTGAGCAGAACGAGGAATGTATTAGTTTTACAATAATGTTTATTTTTTATTTTTCCTGTGGACAACTTTTCTACCAACAATTTTGCTCAGATTTTGTTCAGGTGGCAATTAAAGGAATCCATTTTTTGACTTAAAAGTAACAAAAACGGGAAACTAGATACAATGTTCATTCTAAAAAAAATATATAAGGAAAAAGATATCATTTATCCATAATATGATATAATAAAATATCATAATACATTATTATAGTGCTGATAACATAGAACGTGACGTCATAACAGTAAAGCTACGGGTATAGATTAGACAAAAAATAATCTGTTATCAAGATAATTCATCCATAGTTGGTCTTAACATCACTATACTGCTATACTTCTCATTCAATATTGTTATATTGTTCACGAAGATAATCGACAAGTGGTGAAGAAAGCACAGTCAATTTATTAATATGTCTATGGAAGAGTGTGGAGAAGCTGCTGTAATGTTTGTAACCTCTTTGGTTGTATATGTAAACAACATTTTGCATACACATACACAACAAAAATGTTTTTGGTTAGTTTTAGTTTGGTATTTTAACGTGTACCTAATGTATTAAAACGTTTCTTCAAGAAACGTTAATTTTAAAATATGTCCAATAATGGTTTAGGTACGTTCTAATTAAATATATGTTTTAATTATAATAATATTTATAAAATTAAACATTTAACAAACGAATCGGTCTTATCATTGGATCATTGAGAAAGAACGGATCTCACCCGGACTTGTAGTTTGGTTAATAAAAGACCTTGCGTAGCATTATAGCTTTGTTAAGGAAAGCGAACAAATCGTAACATAGCAGATACATAGGTAATGTACTTACATTGTGAAATAAGAAAAGGCCCACTCCTTCCATATCATCTCTTGAATCTTTTGTAGAATTAATCAGTTAACTAGATTTGTTACTTTAGCTTATTAAATTAATAATTGTATTCTTGTTATAAACTAATACCTGTGAAATTTATCTAAAAATCTATTTACCTATTAATATTATTTCATCTGTTCCAGAAAAAAATATGGCATCAAAATACAATGGATTTTTGGTTTTTTTGAATAATTACAAAAAAAAACAAATAGATGATGGAAAAAGACCTCCAAATTTTAAAACTTTAATCGATATTGTTAAACCATTGTGGAATGTAAGTAGTAAAATAAAATTGTTATCTAAACAGTGAATAGAAGTGACTAAATTTATTTTAATGGTTTATTAAAATCATAGATATTTGAATAAACGGTTAAAAATTATACTCTGTCAGGTTTTGCAATGATGTTTAATTTTAATTTTTTTATCTGTGGACATTTTTCTATAAGAAGTTTTGGTCCGATTTTCAAGTGTTGTACATTTCTTGAAAAAAATTTAAGTAATTCTTTGGATTTGTCATTTTTTTGATTTTTCAATGGGTTTCCATAAGAATCGGGAAACTTACGAAATGTATTATTTTTAAATTTTATTTTTGTTGTGATTCAGTTAAAAATATTTGTAGTCTTTTTGAAAAATTTGATAGAAATTTATATTTGTCTTTTCAAGACGTGATAACATTTCAAAGCATATCTGTTTTTTTAAAACTATTTAATGACATTTCACTTTCGCGAGTTTTTTACATAATTTTTATTTGGTTAGTACTCCGTGGTTGCCTTTTTAGACCAAACAAAAATGCTTGTAAATTTAATAGAAAGTCATCTAATACTAAGACGAGCTAAGTGATAATAAAAAAAATTAATGTAATGTAGAATTTTTGTTTATACACATTTTAATCGAAACTGTGAATATTACTGCCTTTCAAAGTATATCTATAACTAAAAGACCACTCAGAAATTTTTGTTTGCAATCATTAATCAATAGGTACAGATATAAGTACAATAAACTCCCCACTATGTCCTACCTTCCTAATTTCTCGCCTACATCAGTGGCTCACCTATCATGCAAAGTATGTCCTTATTTTTAAGATAAGTTTTGATATTTGTTGTTTCGTGATCACACATTAACTCTTAACTTTTTTTTGTGTTTACCCATTAGAAATTATCTGTTGAAGAAAAAAATAAATATAAAGACATTGCTACAGAATTAAATTTAAAGGAAAAAAAACCAGCCGCTACACAAACAAATAAACAGAATAATTGTTTGCACGAAAACTCTTCCGATTTTTATGATATGCAAAGATACATAACAAAGTTGTTCAAGTCAATTTCCAATAAAAACGGTAAGAATAATTTTATTTTAAATAATAAATATTTGTGATTATTTTTATTATTAAAATGAAATGCGCATATTAATTTAAAACAAAACATTTTTTCCTAGTATAGTTTTTGATCGGGGGTTTTATTTTTCCTCAAATAAATTTTAATATAAAAAGCAAATATGGACTTTTTGGAAGTTATTTAGATACTTGAAAAACGTCAATTATTATAGTTCATTATTGATTCAGGAATTGTAAAAAATAATTTTTGAATTTGCCATATTATATTAATAACCAGTTTTAATAAAGGTGTTTGGGTTTTGAATTTTAACTTAAGCTCTTCAATAATAATAGTAAGTTTAAATAAATTTTGGTGCTAAAGTTTTTAACTTCAGTTTAATTGGTGTCCACGTGTTCTATTGTTGTATTTGTGGTATGGGGATGGTAGTTATGTACAATTTCACTACACAATTAATGCTGTACTACTCTCCTATCAACTATTTAAAGTGGAATATCTCATCAATTGGTTGATAGAAATTAAAAATGTCAACACGTAAATCTAATACACTAAAACATGTAAACAAACTATGCATGGAATTTGTTTTATGTGTCACTATTTGAAAAACATAAAGGAGGGGGAAAGATTGTGTTTTTACACATTAAAATAAGAGCGACGAAACAACAATAATATATTACTGGTTGGTTTTTAAATATTTTGAAAAGCAACTTAAGAAAAAAGTTAATGCATCTTGATATGAAAGAGTTCTTATATTATGTTGATCATACTGTATATAATAGGATGTCATTATATGTCATTTATTATTTAACAAACTATACAAATAAAATAAGTATGTGAGTAAAATGTCCATTGGAGGAAGGGGGAGTGCTAATGATACTTGTTTTGCATAGAGTACATTAAATTAAATTAAATTATATGCATGATGTCTTTTAAAGGCATGGATTAAAAAAAATGTCTTAGAGTATTAACAGAACAGGATATTTATCTGAATGAGTCAAATTAATTATTTTACAATTTTAAACACCAAATTACTTATAGATGTAAAAATGCATAAATTATCAAATGAATTGCTGTTAATTTTAAATGTTTGTTGTTTTATGCAGTGTTTTTGATAGATCAATTATTTTTGTGTTTCTTTTTCTTACACAATGTATTAATTTTTACTATTTACATTTATAATATTTGTACGCCAGTGAATGATAACATTAAATAGCTGTAATTCTTTGTATTTCAGAACTACTAGACACAAATTTTATTCTGGTGCATGTAAATTCACATAGTCATAATGGAGAACAGTACTATTTTCCAGCCGAGATAGCTGCTTTGCAATTTAATTTAAAAGATGGTGTCAAACATACATATCATCAAATTATTGGTCTCTGTAAGTATTATCATATCGGTACAAACTAAAGCGATTTATAATGTGTGACTTTTATAACTGATATCAACTCAAATTGGTCTTACATACTTTAGACAGTATAAGATTGTTATAAGGAAAATCACAAAAGCCCAATTAATCCATTCTGAGACAATGACTTTCTTACAGATTGATCACCTTGTATGTTTTATATATTTAAAAAAAAAATTTAGATACTAATTCATTAATATATTGTAGTACACTTAGATAGGAATACAAAACAAACCAGAGTTTAAAATTGTCATTATTTATCAAACTGACCGTGGTTTAATAGGTAAATGTGTGTAAAACAATCTGGATAATAATCATTATTTAATAGTGACCAGTTAAATATTCTCCTATAATCCACCACTATTGAGATTAACTTATTAAATTTAATTTCTCAACACTAAAAATGATCCACACGAAAAACTTTTAAATAAATTATATATGTAATAAAAAATAATTACTTTATATTATAATAATTTTTGTAGTGTTAGAATATTGTATTTATAAGTTTGATCCATTATAGGGTGGATTTTAAACCAGTCTATTATTTTTGCATTTAACTATATTTTTTGAGTGGTTTATTCAGGTTCTTTTTTGATAATAACAACAATAATGTATGTTCTGGCGCAGTTGATATTTATCACAATTTTAACAATAATTTGTACACAAATATTTCTCCTGTTTTTTAAATATCAAACTATATCAGAAACATTTAACAAAACTATTAAAAAATTACATAAAATAAAAATAAAAGTTTAGCCCATGATGCTGAAAATTGATTTGGAATTGAGATGTTGAAAACTTTGGTAAGCTTTAAAACTCGAAAACACATAATTAGTAAAAGAAAAAAAAAATTTTATTTTGATATTGCATCCTTATACCTGAATATTAGCCTTTCGAAAAAAATGTATATTACTGAATAAGGACCACTCTTAATTAGTTTTGAAAAAAAATTTTTTTGAATTAACGTACAAAATAAATAGGTCACAACTTTTATCTATAATATTACAATATTTTGTCTACCAGAAGCGGATGCTGATATATTAAAAACCGTTATACATCATAGACATACCAAACGGAAATTTTATAAATCCTCAAAAAAAAAAAAATCAGTCGTAATTTTCACACATAAATAGTTAAACGATTGATAATTTTTTTTGAACTTTAGTAAAAAAACATTTTCCATAGACCAAAAGAAGCTATTCAGAAAAAATTACATTCTAACACCTTTAAAAAGTTCATTAATTTAGGAGATTTAATTTAGAATCAATGGTATTCAGTTGATAATTTCTGTATAATAAATCAGAATTTGGACCTCAATTAAGTGTTGATGTAGACAAACTTAACAAAACGTTTTTTAAAAGATTTTTCTGATAATGATTACAAAACAATCAATGAACGACAAAACAAAATTACTATGATCTATAAAGGTTTTAAAATTAATAAATATAGAATAAAAATACAATTAATTGAGTTTGAATAATTATAACATGTTGGTTTTTAAAATTTATTTTAATTTATAAAGATTATTTATAATTAATGAGAATAATAAAAATAAAAAACTGATTTATAAGGTTAGAAAATCCTATATTTGAATATAATTCATTTATCGGTGTTTTAGGTTTAAATATTACCTCAAATTTAATAATCATTGAAACAGATTGTTTATTAAAATAAAATTGTTAAACCTTTAATAATTTTTCGTAGAAGGAGACAAAATTAATATCAAATCTAATGTGTTTTTTAATCTAGACGAATAGTTAAACAAATATTTAGGTTTTCATCATGATAAGGAACATTATTTTAACACAATGAAATATAGAATAGTTGGAGATTTTCCATTAAAATTTACAGTACCTAATTCCAAAGATGAGATATAATATAAATCAATCAAGAATGTAATTTTTTATTATTGATCGAAATGCACATATAACACCATATAAATTACATCTTGGATTATACTCAGTGAAAGAACTTGAAAAAATGTTTAATATTTATCTATTTAATTATTTACATGGTTTACATTATTTACATTTATAACAGTAATACTTGAAAAAGGATTATTAAAAATGTCATCCCCCAATAAAATAGGTTTCGATTTGTATTTATCTGATTATTTAGGTTTTGAATATAACTATGTTGAATCACTTAAAGGAGAAAAATATTCAAAAATATTAGGTTATAAATGGCCTTCTCAAAAAGATGTTGAGAAAGGAGAATGTTTTTTTACTTCAACTGCTGTAAGAACTTCTAACTTAAACGAAGAAAAATATTTAAGTAACATAGAAGGAAATGTATATTTTGATAATTGTTTAATTACAAAAATTCCTAGATTGAAGTATACTATTGATTAAATAGATTTTATTTTAAAAATGAATCTGAAAGTTTCCGATAATGATTTTATTGAAATTAAAAATTATGAAAATAATTTTATGTTTGATAATAACCTTTGTTATAATCTAGGGAGTAAGTTTGTTTGTTTTTCGAAAATTGGAATTTATCTAACAAGTAAAATCCCCAACATTACTTTAAATTACATTGCAATATAATAGAGAAATCTATATCCAATCATAAAGACAATGAGAATATTCATTTTGAGGAGGATCTTTTATTTATTTTTAATAATCCACAAGACAATTTATTGTTAAAACCAACAAATATATCATACATACCTATAAGTGTGAAAGAAATTCAAAATATTAAAATAGATATTTTTGATTTAAAAGGGAATATATTTAAAATACATTTTCAGAATTTATTGTTTATCTTAGTTTAATAAACAGATAATGGATTCACATTCAGATTTTCAATTTATTTCTTTATTGAAAATAGTAATAACTTTTAGTATAATAAATATATCAAAAGTGAATAAATGCAAAGTAGTTTTGTATGATTTTAAAAAAATTAAAAATAAATAGAAACCATATTTCCTATACCTTTATGTTGTTTAATTGTTGGACATTCAGATTCTGGTAAAACCATGTTGTTGTGTAATATTATTGCAAAACGTTGGGTTTCATATGGCAATCTTTATATTTTTACAAAAACTATCAATCAAGGAGTTTATGAGTATATACAAGAAAAGTTTAGTGGTATAGATGAATTTGAAACAGTTTTTTTCCGATGGAGATATAATTTCTGTTGATGAATATAGGCCAGATAGTTTGGTTGTTTTTTATAATTGTATGCTAGAAAACCAAATTGTAATTAAAGAATATTTTGTTAGGTCTAGACATAAAAATATCTCTTGTGTTTATTAAGCTCAAAATTATGTATTAACAGATCTACAAACCACAAGGGTGAATTTAAATTTCTTAATTGTTTTTGAACAACTAGAACAGTAAAACTGTAGAAATCCTTTTGAATGATTTTTTTTGTAGTAGTTTTAGGACGTTAAAAGAGTTTAAATCATTATGCCATACTTGTTGGAGGGTTCAATATGGTTGGATATAAAAATAAATATTTTTATATAAAACTGAACTGTTGTTATATTGAACATCTAGATTGATATTTTTGTTGATTGAACGTCTAGATTGATTTTTTTTACAATAAATGAATGTTTTAATTGTTTGTTGTGTGTAAGAAAATAGTTTCTTTATTATATAATAAATGAAAACTATTAAACAAATTCAAAAAGATTATAGGAACAAAGTTAAAATCGAAAAAAATGTTGTGAAAGTAGAAAAGAAAATTTGTTAAAAGATAAAGTTAATATATCTGTTCCAGAAATTGATAAGACGATTTAACTTGATAAAAAATTGAAAAAATACATAACAAAGAAAACGTAATAAAAAAGAAAACGGTACATTTTCAAGAGAATGTGTTCCAGAAGAAAAAAAAATTCTTAACAAAATACCAACAGAAACAGAGATTGAAAGAATAATTTGTCTTGAAAAAAAGTTCCAAACAACGTATAGAAATAAGACAGAAAAACAAAAGAAATTTGAGCCTATTACATCCGGTTTAAAAAATATTGAAAAAGCTGTTAGAAAAACAGATGATGATAATACATCATTTTTAGTTCCTGTGAGATCATATACTCAAACTTCAGATTTTATTGATAAAATAAATTGATCACACAAAAAAGTATTACTAACGCTCTAACAAGAAAATATCAAATCCAAATAGATCATTCTTCAGTATTTCTAGAACTTACAGTAAAATAGTTACCAAAGACAAATGATAGACAATTTGGAATATGGTATAATAGTAATACAGGTAGATTTATGATTAGAAAAAACGAGATTAATATCATTAATAACAACATAATTTTAAATAATAAAACATATTAAGGTACACGGAGTTTATGTAGATTATTATCATATCCAGTAGCTATTGAACCTAATTTATATAATCCTGAGGATTTTGTTACTTATAAAAATATATTGCTTGAAACAGATTCAACATACCATATTAATGATAAAAATACCAGAAGAGTCAAATCAAGTAAAGGAGATAAATAATTTAAAATGATTTCTCATTTTTGAAAATAAATTAATGATAATAAAAAAATAGAACATGAAGGATCTGGTTTAATAAATTATACAGAAAATCCAATACAATATAAGTATATCAGTAATTTAAATAAATTGTTAAGAAGACTAAATTGTATTGCTGCAGAAGAAATAGCTGGGAATAATAATTTTCATAACAAAAAACTAGCTGCTCTTAATTTTGTAAATAAAGAAATGGAAAATTGAATTGATAATCCAAAAGGTATTGAATATTTAATTTCTTTTGTCTCAAGTTTACCAAGAAAATTAATTAAAGGATCTGGACTTGTTAATGTTTTTTTAAACAGTAAATTTATGCCTGAAGTTCATTGGCCTGGTTTTAATTATCTCGGGCCTTTTACGAAATCCAAGAAACCAATAAACAAACTAGATGAAGCCGCAATGAATCATGATTTTTACTATGAAAAACATAAGGATCCTAAATCTAGACATAAAGCTGATTAAATATTAGAAAATATAGCTAAAGATATATATATATGAATATCCAGATATATCTTTAGGTGAAAAATCAGCAGCATTTGCAACTACTAATATAATGAAAGTAAAAAAAAAATTAGGAATGGATTATATTTAAAGATTAAAAATTAAAATATTTTATGTAATAAATGAATTTTAATTTAAATGATGCACAATCAAATAAAATAAAATCTGCACATAATAAAAAAATAGGTGTAACAATTCAACTATCAAGCAACTAAATTGAAACAGGAAAACAAAAATGTAGCTTAACTGAAACACAAATAAATAAATTTAAAAAAATCTAAGAAAGAAAATAAAAGAACAAGATTAGAATTGAAATTTGAACAAATTAAATAAGGAGGATTTTTTTCCACTTCTTTTTGTTGGAATATGAGCTGCAAGTGCATTAGCTGGAAGAGTAAGTACAATTACAAATACTATTATAAAAGGAAAACCTAAGACAGCAGCAGAAAAAGAACAAGAACAACATATTAAAAAAATGGAAAAAATTGTCAATAATGTTAAAACTTTACAAATCGGATATAGAATTAAAAAGGAGGAAAAAATCAAATCAAATCGTTAACTAGTTTCGATATTATAGACGCTGGTATAAAAATTTTCATGGATTTTTGTGTTGGACGAATTACTTAAAACAAAAGTGGAAAATTGAATTTAAATAAGTCTTAACGAGAAGGATCTAATTGGGTTGTTTGGATTAAGCAAGAAAATTTAAAAACTTATTTTGATTCTTACGTTAATACTAATCTTCAAAAAGAATTAGTAAAATATTTAGGAGAAAATAATCTTAAATTTACATCTAAAAGATTTCAAAACTAGAATGATACACTTACTTGTGGACATTTGTTTGCTTCGATTTTATTAAAAATTATAAAAAATATATCTAAATTAGTATCCTTTTTTTTTTCTATAATAAATGGAAAATATTTTTAATAAATATGATAATCATATTATTCGTTCACAATGTAAAACATATGAAGCAACATCAGAAACAAATTTTAATAAAGATGGTGGTGTTATAACTTTCAAAATAAAAGGTTCTGATCTTTCTCAATATTAAACGTGGAAAATAATTAAAACAAGGTAATACTGAATATGAGATTAATAGTAATGTATAATTAGATGATAATTTTGTACAATTTTTATTCTCTCAAATTGATGTAACAAAAAATGGAACATTAATAGATCAAATTGAAAATTTTGGTAGAGCAGTATAGGCGGTAGATTCGAAGCTGTTGGGAATTTATCTAATCTATGTTTGGGTTTCTTTAAAGATATTCAACATCCAGTTTTTAAAGGAGGAATTAAGATAAATTTTAAAAGAGCAGAAAATGTAGTATTGTACAGATGGGCTTCTAAAACCGCAGCAATATCAACTGTTGGAAAAGTTATTATTGAGGATTTTAAGATAACGATTCCACTAATGGAATATCAGGAAATGTATAAGATACAATTAATAAATGAATTAACAAAATTATCTCAAGGACATAATTACAGGTTAAATTTTAAATCTTGGCAGTGTATGGATGAAACAAATTTAATTGGTAGAATATTCAAGAGAAATATTGCAAATATATATAAAAACATTCATAATCCATTATTTGCAATTGTAGCTTTCCAAACGAATGGACTAGAAACACAATTAAAAAAAAACCTTTTAATTTTGATCACTGTAATGTAAAAAATATTTTGCTAAAAATTGATGGACATAGATATCCACAGGAAGAGAAATTTTCACTTGCCTAAGATATGATATGTCATATAAGAAAACTTCCATAAAACACATCAAGAACTTCCTCTGATGTATCTCACATCTAATGATTTTAAAAATGCAAGACCAATGTATGTATTAAATCTTACTAGACAATCTGATAATGTTAGTGGAAATAAAAATAATATTATTTTGAACGTAGTATTTAATGAGGATATACTAAATGGTACAATTTGCCATTTTTGATTAGTTTTAAATTCTGAATTCACCTATGATACTGTTCAAAATACAATTAAAAAAAAACATTTAAAATTATAAAAATATTTTTAATAGAAAAATTCTATTAAGAAAGAAAAATGAATTTATTATGTTAATAAATATAGACAAGGAATTTTTAGAACCAATACACTACAATAAATGTAAAAAAAAAAAAAATAATTTTAAACCAATCAAGGTTCAAACAACAAACTGGGTTTGGAGAATTTAAACAAAATATTTAAAATGTAAAACTTTTGTTTAAAAGTAAATTTATTAAAGCTCTTGTAGAAAAAAAAATTAAAAAAAAAGACAGAACAAGATAAACTAAGTATTGCAAAAGAACTTCATAAACCAGTAAGATCTCGATTTCCAAAAAAGAAAATAAAAACTCATGGTTTTGACGATTTATGGGCTGCAGATATAATTATAATGAGAAATTATGGTGATTAGAATTCAGGTTATCTGTATATGTTGAATTTGCTTGAGCTGAATCTCTTAAAAAAAAAAAAAAAAAAAAAAAAAAAAAAATGCTACTAAAAGTTTTGAAGAAATAATAAAAAGAGCTAAACTACAGAAACATAATTCACCAACATTACTTCACACTGATATAGGAACAGAGTTTGTAAATAAACAGTTTAAGGAAATGTTAACAAAATACAATATAAAATTCTACCGTACACAAAACGAAGAGAAATCTGCAATTATTGAACGTTTCAACGGAACTTTAAATGGTAGAATGAGAATACAGGTAGTTCAGAAAAATAAAAAATGGGTTGATATTTTACAAGATTTATTGAACGAATATAATTTCAAAGATATTCATTGAACAATTGGAATGATACCATTTAATGTAAACAAATCTAATGAAGTAAAAGTTTTTCTTAAATTATTCCTAAATGAAATAACTAAATCAAAAATTAAATATAAGATTGATGATAGGGTTAGAATAAAGAAGTTGAGGAAAACGTTTGATAACAAATTTAATTCTAATTGGACACGAGAAATACTTATTGTTACAGAGATAATGAACACAAATCCAATTACTTATAAAATTAAAGACTTAAATGATGAAACTATTGGAGGAAGTTTCTATAATAAAGAATTACGGAAAACAAAATTTTGAAATTTAAATATTTTAAATATTTAAATAAATCTAAATTAAATGGAACTTGAAATAATTTTTTTAATAATAATAACAGAACAGGTATTAAACATCATATTTTTTCATCATCTAATCTGCTTATAATCCTTAAAAATTCCTTTTCGGCATGATCTTTTAAAACTATTTTACTTATTCTAAAAATTATTTTTAAATGCTCTTTCTTTAAATTTACTATTGAAGTTTGTTTATCTAAAGGAGATAAATTAATATATTCATCTGAACATCATTTATATTCTTTTCAATAATATCAGCGCAATAATCCTCATTGATTTTTTGAATCTATTGTAATCTCATATGTTTTACTATATAAATTCTTTCTATTTTTTATATATATTTATCTTGTCCTTTTAAAAACATATAAGAATTTTCCTTATCTTAATCTTTAAATAAAATATATTGGTGTTTCAATTCTGAAGTCTTAAGATCAATATTTCTATCAGGAAGTACTTTATCTAATTTATTATTTTCATCTTCCAATTCTTCTTGAATTTTACCTAATTGGTCCTGTGTTTCATCTAATGTTATTCCCATTAAATCAAGTTTTTTAAGAGCAAGCGCGTTTTGAGATAATAACTTATTATTTTGTTTTCTTGTTTCTTGTATTTCTGAAAGTAAATTATTGTTTTGATTTATTAAAATATCTATTATCATCTTTTTCAAAAAATTTATAATTAAATTGTTACGTTTTAAAAAAAATTCAGGTGGAATCCAAGAAGCGAAATCTAGAATAAGATCTTTTGACATGTAAGTTCTTGTTAAAATTTTACCAGTTTTTTCAGTATTAGATTCTTCCTTAAACTCAAATAAAAAGTATAATAAGACTTTGTTCTTTCTGATCTAAACCAATTTTTATATTGTTTATTTCTTTGTTTACACAATTTTGTTGCATTAAAAAAATCCTGTATTTTACCTATGATCAAATTAAATTTACCGTAGTAAAATTCATCCTTAATCTGTTCAAAAACATATATTTTTTAAAAAATTTAAATTCTCTTGATTCTCTAAATTTAGTCTCAAGAAGATGCATTTGTGGCTAAAAGTTCTGATTGGATAATTAACAAAGTTATTAATATGATAATATATATGTGCAAATATAATCCACGTAGAGCATCATTTATTAAATTACTAAAAAAGCTATTACCAACATTCAAAACGAAAATAATAAATGTTTTCTTTGTCAATTCTTGCTGCATTACATCCAGTGGGAAAAGATGCAGATAGGGTTAGCAAATATAAAGAATGGGAAAATAAATTTGACGAAGTATTTAAAAGTTTAAAAATTGAATTTCCAGTTAAATTAAGAGATATTCCTAAATTTGAAAAAAAAAAATATGTATTAATGTGTTTATTTATGAAGATATTAAAAATATAATACCCCTACAAATATGTGATACTGAAAAAGAAACACATTAACTTATTTTATCGTAACGAAAAAAATAAAGAGCATTATTGTTTGATTGAAAATTTATCAAGATTAGTTGTCTCATAAATAATAAGATATCGGTACAATTTATTTTTTGTAACATATGTTTGTCACGTTTTTTTATTAAGGAAAAACTAACAGACCATGAGGAATATTGCAGAAATAATTATTGCGTTAAAAAAATATTACCGAACATATCTGATCGTATTCTTCAATTTGAAAAATACAATCAATCTTATAAAGTTCCTTTTGTCATTTATGTAGATTTCAAAAGTATGCCACCCAAAATTGATACATGTCAACCTTCTGATACAACTTCTTATACAAGAACTTATCAGAAACATTTACCTATTAGTTTTTGTTATAATGTTAAAAACATTAATAGTAGTTAAAGTAATCTAGTAACATATTCCAGAGAAAATGAAGTAAAAGTTGTTTATAAAAAGATAACAAAGGAAGCCATTTATATTGCAGATAATTATTTAGATGTAGAAAAACCTATGGTAATAACCAAAAATCTTGAAAAAGAAATTACTGTCATATATGTGAAAAATCGTTGAGTGATTTATCACCTATACTTGAGAAGAAACAGGGAATACTTGATGACGCTATTTATTATTGTGATTATTATCTGGACTATTGGCAATCTAAAATGTTTGACCAATTGGTATCTAAAAGGAGAACCAATAGTTGGGGATAAGAATGAAAAAGAAGATTTAGATTTAGATTTAGAAGATTTAGAAAAAAAATTTGAGTTTTTTAATAAGCAGATTGAGAAATTAATGGAAGAAAGAAAGATGTTCCTTGAAGCTCTTGAAGATAATATGAAAAAAGTTAGAGATCATGATCACTTAACCGGAAAATACCAAAGAGCTGCTCGTTCTATATGTAATTTAAATTATAAGGTTCATAGATTTTTTCTAGTATTTTTCCACAATCGATCTGGTTATGACACTCATTTACTCATAATTATTTAGCATATCAATATGAATATATGGATTCTCCAGAAAAAAAATATGATGAAGAATCTCTACCTAATATAGATAAATTTTACAGATGATATGTATTTAATTTTTGAACAAGGAATAAGAGGAGGTTTATCTCAATGTAGTATTAGATATTCTTAAGTGAATAATAAATATATTAGAGAAAAAAAAGAACAAACATTAACGAAATATCTCTTAGATTTGGATGCAAATATTTTCTATGTATGGGCAATGTGTAAATATTTACCATATAAAGGATTTAAATGGTATAATCCTGATTGGTTTAATACAGAAAAAATTTTAAGAATGAAAGATGACCAGGAAAAGGGTTATATTTTCGAAGTAGATTTGAAATATCCTGAAGAGTTTCACGAGCTTCATTCAGATTATCCATTGCCTCTTGAAAATGTATTTGATTATAAAAAAATTACCAAAATTAACAACTCTATATGATAAGAGAAAATATATTCTACATTGTATTAAATTTTAGGTTTAAAATTAGTGAAAATCCATAGGGTAATAAAATTTTACCATTATTTCATTAATAGTCAAATAATGACTGGATTTGTTGGGTTAAGATCTAAATCATATAGATTTAAAGTAATTGAAAATAAAAATGAAATTAAAAAAGCAAAAGGTGTGAAAAAACCCATAGTTAAAAATGAATTATGTTTTAATGATTTTTATAATTGTTTAAAAAATAAAAATCCAAAATATGTAAAACAGAACATTTTTAGAACAGATAAACATAAAATATATACCGTTGAACAAAACAAAAAAGCTCTTAGTGTATATGATGATAAAAGATATATTCTAGAAAATGGTGATGATACTGTATCATGGGAACATTTTTCAACAAAAATAGAAAGTGAAACCAGGAGCAACATTATTTTTTAACGAATCAATTTTAAGAATTATTTCATCTGATGTAACAGATATGAATGATGATGATGATGAACTGATGAGATAAATAGACGAGTTTAAATGAGAATTTTTATTTTCTCTTTCAATTTCTATATTAGGTATTTTAGAAGCAAAATCATTAACTATATTTACAAAATTTTAATTAAGTAATTACAATCAATTCCAGTAGGAATTTTTTCTTATTAATTTTTAGATATTTCCGAAATAATTCTTTCGAATTATTTTTATTAATAATATTAATTTAATTTTATAAAATAATTTCCGCGCAGTATATTAATATAATGTTAAATTTTTATTTGTAAAATAAAAAATCATTTAATAATTTTGAAGAATTATTTTTTTTTCCTAAATAATTTATTACGGTTTGTGATTATTCCTTTGTTAATCCAAGGATTTAAAGATTTTTTTTAAACTTAGTAGTCTTAGAGTGGTCATCGCAATTCAATACTAACAAATATTCGAAAAAAATTACTATAATATATTTGTCCATCGTAATTTTCATCAATCATTTTTTGCCAAAAATTGTTGTGAGAGAAACCGCTCTGCATTATCTCAGGTAATTTTTCATGGTTTAGCATCAATTAACTATTATATGAATTGCATACGTACAACTATTTATGTGTGAAAATTACGACTGATTTTTTTTTTTGAGGATTTATAAAATTTCCGTTTGGTATGTCTATGATGTATAACGGTTTTTAATATATCAGCATCCGCTTCTGGTAGACAAAATATTGTAATATTATAGATAAAAGTTGTGACCTATTTATTTTGTACGTTAATTCAAAAAATTTTTTTCAAAACTAATTAAGAGTGGTCCTTATTCAGTAATATACATTTTTTTCGAAAGGCTAATATTCAGGTATAAGGATGCAATATCAAAATAAAATTTTTTTTTTCTTTTACTAATTATGTGTTTTCGAGTTTTAAAGCTTACCAAAGTTTTCAACATCTCAATTCCAAATCAATTTTCAGCATCATGGGCTAAACTTTTATTTTTATTTTATGTAATTTTTTAATAGTTTTGTTAAATGTTTCTGGTACAGTTTGATATTTAAAAAACAGGAGAAAAATTTGTGTACAAATTATTGTTAAAATTGTGATAAATATCAACTGCGCCAGAACATACATTATTTTATTATTTATAATTCTCATCCCTGTGACTGTGACATAATTAACAAGTTAAATTTGTCCAACTTTCATTCATAATTATTTTATTTATTTTTCAGCCAAAATTTATCCTAGAGGTTTTGCTGGTGGTTTGAGAGAATATGCAGATAAATTTCACCAAATAAATTGTTGGGAAAATTTCCCCGATGATTATAAACAAATATTATTGGAGTTTATAAAGTTTATTGAAGTAATTATCATATCATCTGTAGATTTTTCAATTTATTTATCAGTTAACAATAATACCTATTTTTAGAAAGTAAAAGATAGTGAAGATACATCTGAAGACTTACCATACATCTACACTATAGAAACAGAAATTGGTAATGATATGATGAAAACTAAAGCAAGTCTAGGCAATCTTCACAAAACAGTCTATAAGGAAATTCCTGGTAATGATATGATATTACAAAATGACTTCTTGCATATGTTGGTATTCTGCTGGTAGGAATCTAAAATATGGGCAAGATGAAGTTAATATTCATGAAAGTATCAATTTTTCACAATTTTAGATTCTGAGCGAATAAACATATTAATTTTACAACAATGTTAATTTTTTTTTGTCTATCCAAACGACTTCTATACCAGCAGTCTTAATATAATTTATTAGATGTAGTAGATTTTCTGAAAAAAAAAGACTGTCTGATTGGTACTTTACAGAAGTTATTTTACTTAATTTATAATTATACTGTCTTTAGATTTATTTTTACTTTAATGTTCAAATATTAAATTATTTAAATTCAATTAAAATGTAAATCGTGATATTTTGTACAGAAACTACCCAAATTACTAAACGAGTATTTAAAATAGGAAGTCTTAACCGATTATTTAATGAATTAATGAACAAAATGGAAATTAAGATACCGGTTACATTTTCCAAGACAGCTCATGATATTTTAGAAAGTGACATGTACGGAAGTGGACTGGGTTGTATGGTATGTATTGCATACTACATGTAGATAATTAATTACTATTAATTATATGGACTGTACTCAAACAAAATTATATAGCAATTATAATTTATCTTTTATTTTTTATTTATATGTTACAACTAAAATGAAATTGCATTATTTTATTATTTTTAAATACTATATTAAATATAGATTTCCTCAAATTTTTTCTTAAAATATTTTTAAAATATGTGTTCACTATTATATTATTATGCTTTATTAATTTTTATTATTAAATTTTTCAATATTTAGATAGATATAATTGACAATTAACACGGAAATATTCATATTTATTTACTTGATATGAAACATTTTTTCACAATAATTATTGCATTGCGAAATTTTTAAAACTAATTATAACCTAATAAATATCTGAAATCAAATGTACAAATTTTAATTACTATTATATAATAATTGAGATTAAAATTATAATTAGATAATTATTTCTTAGTCCATTACTATATTCTATTTATTTTATAATATTTTTGGTATTAAGTATCATGAAGTGAGAGATGTTGCATACAAGTGTTCCAAGGCTCGCATTATTCAATGGATGTCCAATATGTGCATGTTCATACATAAATATTCTGGTTTACATATTAAACCCGGGAAACACATGGCAATTCAATTAAAAAACGGATCAAAGATGGTATACCTATTTTTGTTGTTTATTTGTATTTATTATTTATATGTGACTATTTGATTTATTTCTTCCGTATTCTTTTGTTTTTAGATGATTGAAAATGAGGATGTACCTTTATCTAAATTTAATTTAAAACATGAAATTGCAAAAAATTGTACATCTTCAGGCAACTAATAATCATTTTTCATAAATGAAGCAAACTTCTTCTAAACTACAAGTAATGATAAACTAATTTTATGAAAGTTGATTCCCCAAAACTGTGTGGTGTACCTCTTTCTGATGGTAGGATATAAAGAAAAAAGTTTCTATATTAGTTTATATAAAGCAGTAGTAAATTTCTGAAGTTAAGATGAACTTCTTGTAAAATTTGAATTGAGCAAAAAATAGTACTGATAGACAGCTAATGAAATTTAATGCTTCTACTTTTATAAATAAAACATTTTAATAACATCCTTCCAAATACATAGAAAGGATATCAAATAGAAATTTTTAGAAATCAAAAGAGTGCAAAAGTCAAATTCATCAGAACACAATGTAAATATAAATTTTTTTTTAGAATTTATATCACTTCAATAGATCAATTAGTACATTTGATTGAAAACATGTACCTAACATGTCTAAATCCAGTCCAATTAACATTGGTTTTGAATTTTTTTATTTATAATTTTAAAATTATTATTGTTGATTTGAGAAGTACTCAGTCTCTCTTATATATATCGCTTTTAAAATGTTTTACAAATTACAGTAGAACTTGGTGTATCTGAATTAACAGCGATCACACCCATTCAAAGTTTGGGCACTGAGTATTTTTAGAAGGGTTTTATAATATGAATTAATTTTATCGTTTTCATCTGTTTCCAATTTAGTAAGAATTTCCATTTTTTGTTTTATTTTAAGAACATTAAATTAATATTTATTAGATGTTGAAGTTGATCTCATTTTAAATATATATGTATACAAATATGCAGATAACAATAATAATATTCAGGTAACAGATTACTTGAATGCATCTATTGATGCATATTAAGTTAATAAAGGGTTCCTATAGCAAAGGTTCAGACTCAACATTACTATGTTCTAATAATCTAATAACAAATGATTTAATACATTTTAAAAATACTCTCTCTGACTATGATGGTAAATGTAATTCAACACCTGACAACAATTAAAGGACTTGTTATTTATCAACAAACATCTTAAAGAATACTTAATTATGACAAAACATTTTTCTAATATTTAATTTTAAATAAAATGGAATGATATTAATGTGTCATAAAATAAGGAATATTAGCTGTGGGTAATCAATACACCTATAATTAAGAAAATGATTTTTTATTATTTTTTTACAATATGTTTATGTATTTATTTAGACTAGTAATTATGATATTTAATTATGCTTTTAAATAATAATTTAAAAATAATTAATAAACAACAATATTGTTAGGGAATTGTGGTATAATAATAGTTCGATAATCGTTTATATTTCAATTAATTACTTATTTTAATGTTTTAGTGTAAAATTGTGAACAATTATAGGTAAATTTTTAATGCTTACAATTGTATTTATTTATTATAGATATTCCATAATATTTGTATTTATTTAAATTGTGTTGTATTTTAAAAAGTGTTCAGATTTTATTAAACAACAGAATAAAGACCATTTTTTAAACATTAAATGGTATTTTCCGATATTTTATACAGTATATTTACATTTTTATATATTATATTATTTTTATACATTATATTTACATATTTCAATTAAAATTTGAAATATTTAATTAATTTATTAATTAATTAAGCTAATAGGGGCCTTAGGCAAGAATGCAAATAGTCAATAGTCACTAATTTTGCTTACTTTTTATATGTTTTTCTTTTTTTAAGATTTTGTTAATATTTCAGAATATTCAATATTTGTACTTGGACAATTATGTGTCTTATAATGAAGTAAGTCATCAAATTATATTTCTAAATCATGTGCTAATTCATTTGATTTTAGCCAACATGTAAAGCTGATTTCACTTATTCTAAGTGTACTTGACAAAACATATCTAGTGTCCAAGCATAAAAATGTATAATTAAACAAATTAAAAAAGAGATTATATATTATAATATTGTCTAATATGTGATAATAATCTTGTATGCATGTTTCCAAAACAAAATTCATAATAATATTATATAAGAAATTTTAGATTTTGTTGATAAAATTCAGACTTATACTAATACACAATAAATGCGTAGATATAATTCATAGTTATAAAGAAGTCAGGGAGACTGCTCCACATCTTACTTGTAGCATGAGTTGAAGCGCTCGTAGTGTACAAATTGCAGGCTTACGACTTTTTATAAAAAAAATATTGTATACCGTATAGTACACTGTATGACTGTGATAAATACGTTTGTGATTACTGACATAATTTGTTTGATTGAAATTCAAAGTTAATTTTAATTTATTCTTAAAAAGAAAAAATGCAAAGATGCATAGTTTGTAGTAGATCAGAAAATTCATAAAACTTACTCTATAGTGACTATAACCCATTGTAGTTTATTTATCACTGTAGTTTTATTATCTGAGATCATGATATAATTACTTCAAAAAGTCAAAATTATCAGTAGGTTGCTTTAGATATTTTATCCATGGTTAGAAGATAAAAGAGCATAATTCAGTAGAAAGTTATAATATGTAAACGTCATTGTTGGCATACATTATGTGCAACAGTGATTTAAAGAGAATTAAAAATGTATACTAAATTTGTATGACTATTATAGTACTTTAAAAACTACAGACAAAAATAGTTTTTGCTAATAAACAAGATGCAATATTTTCTACTAAAAATAATAAGTTGTGTAAATAATTAAAACTTGTTTTTAGTACAAAGTTATTTAAAACTATCTAACATTATTAAATGAATATTGGAATCCAGGTAAATCTGATAAAGTGTGATTTATTATACATTATATATATATAATTTATTATATATAATGGATTTATTTTTTTTTTTTTTGTCAATTGTATATTATATTTGTAACCAAAAATTATAAACTGAATCCTAAATAGGTCTAAGTGATTTATGATTTTCACTTTAATTTTTTGGTATAATATGATTTCAATATGTATTTTGAATATAACTATAAACAATGTTTTCCATAAGTAAATAATTGTAACGGACCTAATGTAGGAGAACAGTGATCAATATAGGTACATTTAATATTATAAGTTGTGTTTTATACAATGGGTTAATAAATATTAGGTTCTTATTTATTTTATGAATTATTTAGACAATATATCATAAAATGCTTGTCAATTATTTGTTGACACAACAGATGAACCAAAAATATCAGACCAGGATAAGCTTTTATCGTAAAAATCTTTAACTCCAGGATCATAAACATATGGTATTATATGGTCTACTATTGAACATACCACTACAGATGGAATATTCTTTATTATTCACAAAAAAAAAAAAAAAACTTAGTATTTATTTTAGAATTATCACCAATCGTCATCAGTAGGTAATGGATTTATATGTAAATGTATATTTTATTAGAACAATATTTTTAAAATTTTATTATTTTATCATTCATATGTTAGGCTATGTTGATTTTGAAACAATCAAAGAAATAATGAATGGCAGACACTCTTCTAAATATTTGGAATTATCACCTTCAGATATGCTCCAATTACATTGATTGATGTGAAACAATCAATTAGTTGTTTTCAAAATATTTTGAGACCTATTAGGCGATATTTAACATTCAATAATTTAAAAGTATTAATATTAATTTATTATCAATTGAACTTATAAAATCATAGATAAAAATTGTGTTTTAAATTTTGTTTTTCAGGTATTATAATATAATATTATAAATTAGACAATTTAATTAAAATACAGAATTAAATGACGAACAACTTACTCATAAACACGAAGAATCAGTATTTCAACTGATAATACTAAATTGATAAAAATGATTAAAGGGAAGATGGCCGCCACGTTTTTGTTTATTGCATAACCTTACCATTTTAATTCTTATCCGTATCTGAGTCATTGACTTAATAAAATATTTATGTTATGCCAATGGTCCGGGCCTTGTTCATATTAACAATATGTATCCCACAAATGAAAACTATTTTCATAAAATGTTCAAACATTTTAGGCTGGCAACAAAATCACCGCAGTCGTTTTTCGAATAAGTGCCGTTCATCGATTTATTTACTATGGTCACCATAGACCGGCACTAAACATGTATCCACATCTACTGTGTGAAGATAGGGGACGTGTTTTGTTAACACTCCGATACGGTACAAAAATCATTATATAATCGCGCTTTTTATAATTGGCTGACAATTTGTTATAATTAAAGATAATTGAAATGTAATATAAAAATATTATAGTTAAATACTTAATACCAACTTAAATCTATTTAATATGGTTTTGAAATATATTAAATGCAGTAACACTGTTAGCGACAATATTAATCTTTTCCTGTTACTATATACTATATATTTATAAATATTTGGTATTTATCCTATCACATTTGTAGTGTACACTTTAAGAAACGTCATTTTTAAATTAATTGTCTCTTATGTACTAATTCTTTACCCATTAAAAATACAATATTGGATGTGTCAAATACCAACGAATTGAAGTATTATGTTAAAATGTGACAGAGTATATTGCTGGATTTGTTGTGAGGAAAAAAAACGAATTGTGAAATATGTAAAAATTTATTAATTGACAATGACAATTAAAATATAATAATTGAATTAAAAAACAAAAATAATGCGCTTTACAAACCAAGTAAAATTGTATTATGTAGTATGTTAATTTTGTGTGTTGTGTTTCAGAAAGATAAATTAATAATAATAATAATAATAATTACTTTCATAACATTAAGGTATCAGCAAATCTCCAATCAACAAAACAAATTTTATTGAGAAATTAATAAGTAATTAATTAGTCATTTTTATATATTTATTTATTTGTAAAGAAATAATTATTAATAATCCATCACCGTTATTAGACAGAGCCGTAGGGACAAAGCTTTCAACAATTTACCATTCCACAATTATATGCATTAAGTTAATAAATTATGGATTTTTTATTTCGTTATCCATTTATAAAGAATAACACTGGACTAATAACCAAATTACCGATCCATGTAAAACAATATGTGACATTCAATCAATAGAGTTTAGTCTGTGGGTTTATTTGTTAAAAATTAATTTAGAAAATTAACAAATAATCAATTTTTATTTTAAAATATAGTTTATTGAAATATTTGTTGGTTACCTTAACACTGAATACTTAATACATAAAAGTTAAAATGAATTAGTGAAATATAATATATTAACTTAATATAAATATATATATACACATATAGTTCACACTAAGACTACCACTAAATATTTCAGTTGGATGACCTAGTACTGAAATGGAATTTTCGGGGAATGATATAGGGAGTACCCAAATACACATTTTCAGACAAATTTGAATTTTTAATACTTTTGGTACGCGCATGCACAATAAAACTTACTTTTTTTTTCTACGGATAGTGTTTTTTTAAAAACAATTTTTGTATAAAGTTTTTTTATAATTGCACAATTGGCAACGTTATAGTATGTTGAAATTTAATATTTACAAATTTTTAACTATGTTCAATTCGTATTTGAAAATCAAATTGATATCTCTGATATTTTGAAATACCATTTTGTAGATAGATATAAGACACAAATAAACACTTATTTTTTTTCATAATTTAGTTTTATTTTTCCAAAATAAATTGAAGGTAATGCAAATTAAAAAAATGTACACACTATGAATTTGAAATTAAGATTTATTTATTTGCAACTATAGATTTATCAAATAAATTGTTCAAAGTTTCTGTCTTGGTGTTCCAAACGGTTTAAAAATTATTTTGATGTTGCAGCGGTTATTTGGTCTTCTCTCAAATTATTACATGCTACTCATAATTTGTATTTTAAATCTTGTACATTCTTAGGATCCACACATACAATATTTTTTAAATGCCCCCATAAAGAAGAACAGAAGTGTTTATTTTTGTCTTATCTGTCTTCTATAAACAGGTATTTCACAATATCAGAGATGTCATTATTTTGATATTCTAGTATAAAAGTTGAACTAAGTTAAATTTTCATCAATTATAGATTATTCATAAATGTTAAATTTCAACATACTGTAACTTTGCCAATTTAGTAATTAGAAAAAAACATTTTATACAAAAAATACGCTATCTAAATCTGTAGAAAAAAACACTATCCGTAGAAAAAAAAAGTAAGTTTTATTGCGCATGCGCATACCAAAAGGATTAAAAATTTGAAATATGTCTGAAAATGTGCATTTGGGTACCCCCTATCATTCCCTGAAAATTCCATTTCAATATTAGATCATCCAACTGAAAAATTTAGTGATACCTTTTAGTGTGAACGCACTGTATATACTTTATATTAATAAACTGTCCCTCAATAAAGTATTAAGTATAAGGTTTACTATAAGTCATATTTTTAGCCTGGGGGTACCACAACCCAAATGGTTGTAAGGCCATTGCTTCATGAAATAACTTACCATGCCGCCACTGATCCTACCTTGTCATTATATTTTGGGCTTGTCCAATTTATTTAGTAAACCAGTAGACAAACTAACCTCAACTAATTTTAACCTTTTACTTGTAGCTTAGTCATTAAGTTAATACTTAAAGTTTTTGTTGTTTCTTAATAATTTGATTTATCATTTTAAACTGTATATCACATTGTTATTTTTGTAAATATGTAATTTTGTAAATTGAACAAATAAAATGTTCTATATACATATATTATAATACCTGCAATATAAGTAAACAAATAACACTGAAAGGAGGAATCACATAAGAATTTATTAGATTCAAAAATACACAGTCAATATTATTAGATGTAAAGTATATTGTATTTTACACAATATTAGAAAATAAAAAATAAAAGTTTATTAATTGTTTACATTATATAAATTAATAGTAAAACAAATAATGATAAATAATATTTGTGTTTGAATTGAAGGTAGGTATTAAACATTAAAAAATGCTTTTGATGTATCAATACTTTAGAGTAAAAATTAAATTCAAATTTAAATATACCTACTTATGTTTAAAAAATTATTTATCGAGTTAATAACAATTAAAATAAACAGTCAAAACTAGCAACTAAACAAATATTCAAATATATAGTTTTTATTTTATATAAATTTGTTTAATGTTTTGATTATATAAAATAATAAAATGTGGGCAACTAGTTACATAGTTTTATTAGTTACCACTGCTGTTAGGCACAATATTTCAGTTATAAAGACCATGTAATAAGTTCCCAGACACAATTGATTCACATAAATACCGATGGATTAAACTGATCAAATTAAAAAAAATGGGTATTTACATTCAGTGAAAATTATAAAATTGTGAAAAATTATTGTAAAAATCACCATTTAGTAGGAAATTAAGATTTAGGCATTGATTTTTTTAATTTCTTCTTTTTTATATCTAAAAGAATTTGGCGCCTTATGTTTATCATATCATCTTGAGAAAAATTTAAAGGTGCATTCCTACTCAAATGTTCTGCAAAAGCACAAAGAAATACACCACAATCCCAATGATTTTGTTGTTGAGGGCAATCCTTGACATTTCTTAATCTCCATTTATCAAAACAAAAGTGCATATTTTTTTTATGTACTCCTTCTAACCTTAGATATGACACTATTACTTTCATAAAATCATAACCACTATTCCCAATACTATCATAATAGTTTATAGTTTTGTTTTCAAAATCAACATAAACTAAAACCCAATGATTATCTTCTCTAATATGTATAGGAATGAATAACTTTTTCTTAGCAAATATATCAATCTTTTTAGTCCATCGATCAACACGTTTATAGCCCTGGGTAGAAAAGGTCAGATAAAAAAATGTATTAAATGTGTATACAGTATCTGGTGATCTTGTTTGTATTAATGACATATAGTTGTTAATAATTTCGTCATTAATGAAAAGCTGTCCCTCTGCCTCATAGTTATTAGGCTGAAATTATAAAAATATTTAAAAATTATTAATAGAAAAAATAATGCATAGGCTACTCCTGGTACAAGTGGGATGTTGGACAAGCTAGAATTTTATTGGTACAAACTGGTATACTGATATATTTTGTACCAGTTTACTAACACTTAATACCGATTATTTTACACTAGCCATAGATATTGAACAATGGAAATCAATGTATCCCCATCATTATTCAAAATTAGCAATGACAATATCAATTAAATATTAATAAATTGTTTAAATTATTACCTATATTTCTCATTTTTCGCTTATTAATATTAGTATAATTTATAAGTATAAGATGTATAGTATTCATTTTGTTAAGTAATTTTATTGAATTGTCAATATCACAGGCATTAAAATTAATTTGAATATTAATTGTTATCACTTAAAATATTTTATATTTATTTATCTGTTCATTTATTATTTTGAGTTAATAGTTTGTACCATATGCACATGACGGTGCAGAAAAGTTAAACCAGTGTTGTTAATTTTAACACCGGTTACTCCAGAAAATTTCTCAAATTCACACCGGTTTGATATTCAAGGGGAAATTTACATCGGTTTGTACCAACAAATTTCTAGAAGTAATAAATTAATCTAATTTAATTTCTAAATGCATAAATACACAATTGAAAACTAAATAGAATTCATAGTAAAACTGCTCCTTATGGAAACACTTCAAAACAATATTCTTGATTCTACCACCAATCGTCAGTTGACTTTTGGTATGCACATGTTACAGCTAATGTTGTAAAATCGGTTAATATTGGTAATCGGTATACTTTTATAAATTTTGTGCTGTTAGTTATAATATTTAAGTGTATTGGTATAGTATCAACTTAAAATAAAACATTGTCTGTGTTTGTGTAGGTTTTTTTTTCTATATTCAAATTTTTAAACCAGATTTAATGATTAATAAATTTTAATGTTTTATATATTTGTAAATCATTCAAAAATTTAAATATTGAACAAAATCCAATTCACAAAAACAAACAATGTTCTTCCCTTTAAGTTTGATAACAGGCTAATACACTCTAATGTTAAAACTAACTGCACAAAATCAGATTTCTAAACAAAAAGAATAAATAGAACAACATTAACTATAACATACACATCATCGAAACTTAACTAATATGTATTATTTTTACATATTTTTATAGATTCTGATTGGACCGAAGAATGTATTAGTTTTAGAATGATGTTTATTTTTTTTTATGTGAACACATTCTACCAAAGAGCTTACTTCGATTATCAAGTATAGCACCTTTTCTGAATAGAAATGTTCATTGGGCAGTAATTTGGATAAGTAATTTTTTGAAATTCTCATAGATAATCGAGATAATTAGGAAAACCCAATTCTTTAGGCCGAAAAAGATTGAAAGTTTAAAAATAAGTTTGAATAAGGTAAACAATTGGCAACCTTTTTGTTATAATTAATTTTTCATTATTTTAAACTTGTTTAAACAATCATTGTTGTCATGGAAATGCACATTGTTGAAAAGCAATACTATAGACCGAGGTAATAAATTTTAATTTTAATACATTATTTTAACTCTAAATATTTATATTATATTTCTTTATTCTAAACTTAAGTATCACTATCAATTCAACTCCGCTCAGATCGTTTTCCGTATGCAATCGTTTAACGTTGCTTACAGATTCAATTTTCTTCTATATTCTACCTTCCCAACTTCCCACATACATAGTAGCTGTACATATGTGGGAAGTATGCCAGTCTTTTTTATAAGATATGGGTACCTATTTTTAAACAATATTTAATGCAATATACTTTTTCATTTTATACTATCCTTTAAATTTATATGTACATTCTATTTTGTTTACACCTATAATGAACTGTTACCAAACACAGTTCCTTGTGTAAAATACAATAACATTTTTTGAAGTATTAGGTAACAATCAAAATAAATAAATTTATATTCTTAGGTTTTTTAAAATTTTTAATTACAGAAATATTTTAAAATCAAAAAACATACAACTTTTTTGATGGTTATCTAATACTTACTCAACAAATTGTTATTATATTTCACAATTTAAATTATTTTAGAAAATAATGATTTGAAGTTAATTTGATTAACTTGATTGAAAATTCAGTGAAATTTTAAAATAATTATGTTATTTACCATAATTTATCAAATTGATTTAACTCTGATATTAAGTGCACAAATGAATAACTGGATTGTTTTGGCAGAAATTGAATACCAAAATATATGGATTGGCCTAGTTTGCTATACTACTGAACTTTTGCCACAAACCACTTTAGCTCAATAGTAGGTATTATTGCACTAGTACTCAAAACTAACAGGTTATTTAAATACAGTAGAATTCATCATGTACACAAAACTTCATGATTTCTGGTAGTTTTAAGGATTTGAGAGCAAATAAGCAGATTTGCTCAACTGCTGCCACATTTCAACAAAATAATGAATTGGTTTTAACAAGTGCAATTTTTAACTTAGACACATGAAACTAATAAGTTATATAAATACAGAGTAAAGTAGTCTGTGGACTCAGATCAGTAAATTAAGCAGTCCCAAAATATATAACTAGGTATATTATTAATTACCTAAGCATAATATTTTGTATGAATACACAAATTAATTTAATCCTAATATTTAATATACATATAAACCAGCACACTAATATGTGTATTAATGACTGTGAATTAAGTTACTGTATTTTATTAAACTGGATAGGTAAACTAAAATTTTAAATCTATTAAACGATTTTATGTCTGTAATATATTTCAAAAATATTTTGCAGTAGGTACATAGACTTTAATTTTGAAAATACTATATGTATAATAATCAAATAAAGAATTGCACAGTTCACATATAGAAGTTAAATAAATATAATATGCAGGTATCTGATAATAGTAATATTTTTTCAAAGTTCTTATTTAATAATATAGTGACTTATAATAAGTTAAACAAATATGATAAGTAGGTAAAATAATAAATTGAATAATGGATTCATACCTATTAAGTTAAAAGTCATAGTCATAGATGCTTTATATATTAATTTATTTACGTACCTACCTAACAAAAAAAATTTTTAACGAGTTAAGAACATTTAAGAAACATTGTCTTAACTATAATATTAATTGTTTAAACTTATTTTATTACCATAGTCATAATATTTTTTTGCTGTCTAGATGTATTGAATGTATGCGGTTAGTTTATTAATTATACTATATAGGCAAGACATTAATAACAAAAATTATAGAATAAAATTGTTTTTAACGTTTAAATTATAAAAAAAAAAATAGGCATACATTATAATAGATATTCTAAGGGTAAATCATTAACAGAAATCTATGTACAATTACGCTTGGACATCACGAAAATATTTGATAATCTAATAAAAAATTGTTGTTAATCTTATAGGATATCGCAGTTTTTTGGAATCGAGTGAACACAATATTCATCGGTGATTTACCTTCTGAAAATAGATGTTAATGAATAGTATTTAGAAAATTTAAATTATGTGTACAGTAAATCAAGAGTTAAATATATAATAAGACCCATAATGAAAGAATTTTGATTTGAAAAAGGAAAACAAATTAGTTTACATCCATAAACTCAAAATAATAGGTACGCTCTTAAGTAATGTAATACACGATACATGGGTAAAAATAAAAATATTATATTGTTACTTACTGTAAATATAGACATTTTTTGCCTTGTTTTGTAAATTTTAAAATACAGTAGATAAATAACTTAACTAACAAAATTGATTTGAAACTCAAATTAACTTGAACTTAATTTTTAATTTCGAGGAAATACACTAGAGTACTACACAATCAACAAGTGCGTTGTCATAAATATCGACGCTATTAATTGTTTACATCATTAGATATATTATATACTAGGACAATAGAATAACACTATGCACGACTTGCGCTCTCTACGACACTCTACGCGTTTAATTACAATACTTAAATATAGATAATAAACTAGATTGCTAACTAGTGATAACAGCCGACGCCGTAAAAAGTCACATTGGACCATGAACAAATTATATACTGTTGAATGAACACATATGTGGTCAAATATACAGTCATACTGTTTGACAAGCGTCTCAAACTTGCACGACCAATCAGAAGCGTTCACTTTGTTATCAATATTTGTGAAAACACATTTTTTTATCGGTGTATATAACAATATTATCAGTAAATCCGAGATCGTGGCTCGGTCTTAGAAGATAAGGTCGGAAAACTATACCTAATCAGCATTCCGCTTAAGCTAAATGATTTCCTAGGAGAGCGGTGCCATAATCTATAGTGCATTTTACGAAATTAAAGATTCGACTGATTCGCTACCGGTGACCAAAAATTTTGATTTCAGTGATGTTCAAAATTTTCAAAAGCGCGGTTGATTTGAAATTAAACATACCTTTTTAATCTTGAATTTTTTTTTTAAATTTTACCAAAAAAAAATTGAAAATAAAGTAATAAATTATTTAAACATAAATAAGTATGTAATAAAAATAAAATTTTATTAATTTTTTTCATGTTTTAACAATAAAATAACATCGTGCCATTATTTAAAAAAAAAAAAAAAACCACTTTAGTTTTCAAATATCGCGGGCTAAGGACAATCATTAATCAGTAAAACAATTATTATTAAAACAAAAACGATAGTGGAAGGGATTGTACGATTAATTATCGAATCACGATTAGATTGAAGTACAAAATAAACATGCGTGCATGTCTATATTGTTATCGTTAATATGGTTTCATTATTTTGTCATCAAAAAAACCATTGATTCATTATCATGCCAATCGGTATACTGACCGTTATTTGCGGCAGTTCAATTTACGCGCGCTTTTAAGAATAGATATTTGATGAAATTAAAAAATAAAATGTTTGGGTGTATCAATCGTTCTTTCGTTTTCATGTTAACTAATGAAGAACACATTTGTTCAGAATAAACTTGTGGTGTTACAAAAGCTGACTTACAAGTATTGCAATCACCAACGTATTTCAATATGTATTTAGATAGATACCCTATCATAAACGTTGTTAATTGATTTTTAATATTTAATAACATTTTACAAATACCTAATAATTAATGATAAATGTATCAAAATATTTTGTTACATACCATTTAAATAATATATTAGACAATCTAATCCAATATTTCAGCCTTTGTATAATTGTGCTCAACAACTTCATCAAAATCAAATTCCCAATTTTTTCCTTTAATTATTTTATTAATTTTTATTTTTAAGTTTTCAACTAAACATGAATTCTTTGGTTTATGGATACCTTTTTCCACATGGACCTATCCACACCTGTATGTCAAATATATTTACTGAGCAAATAACATTTCCCAATCTATGAATAATACAAAAATATTCTTTGATCTTATTATTAGGTCATCCTGAAAATTGTTTTCACAAATAACCTCGTTAGCACCAAAATTACATATCCCTAAAGATTTTATTATGAACCAGCAATTATCTCGGAGGATTTTAAGTGAATTTGATTCATGTTTTTTCTAATCATTATGGAATCGTTTAAGATTTATTTTAAAATCATTTTTAATTTTTACCCTTACTCATTATACCTTATATAAGACCTTAAGATATATAAGATAATATATAAGACTAATATATAGACCTAATATAAGACTTATATATATACCTTATATACTTTTGAAGTTATATAGGAACCTCCCCCTCCTTTAAAAATTTTGATTTACACTAATATCGGATTTTCCGTTTGTATGTTACAATAGTTTAAAGTTTGATCAGAGGAGTAGGGAAGGGTAATAGAAAGGAGATGTATTACCCTTCCCTACGCAAGATTTAAGATCATATATAATATATACATAGATGGGGCATCCTTGCCACGGTATACTGTGAACTACGATACAAAGAACCTTCTCTACATCGTGCTGTGAGCGAAGAGTCTACTGGTTACCATAATGGTTATATGTGGTTACCTATTCTGGTTTAAGACTTTTGCTATAGAAAATATAATAACCAAGTGTCAGATCAAAAAAATGAATTCTAGACTATAATAAAATATATTTTAATAATATAATTATATTATTAACAAAAGTATTATTATTACTTATCTATTACCTATCAACATTTTACGAGTACTATCTCCCAATATAATAATCATATCACATTGTTGAAGCAATAGTTGACACATACCAAGTAGGTACCTATATTATATTATTCATGAATAATATCATAAGTAACTATTTTAAACTATTATATTATTAATTATTATTATACTACCGCGATCGTCACATAAAATTTCAACATTTTTACAACCACATTTTTTGTAGAGCACTTGGTTTTGCAATTACATCGCGTATATCCTTGCGGAAAGGACCTTGCCTGTACAGTGTACAGTTTCTGTTTTTAATTTCGATCCGAGTAAAAATTGAGCCGTAGCTTAAAACTATTTTGAACCATATTCGTTTTTAATTTGATATAATATATAGTTTTTTTTTTATAACCAATTATTTGTATTCGATTCTTTTTCATCGCTATGATAAATATTCAATTTATTTTTATTTAACTTATAGTTATGTATAATCTGGCTAGGTTATTTTTCATCTCCATGACAATTATTCGTTGTATTTTTATAAAAGAAAATTGATAGTTTTAGCGTCAAATTAATAATTCTTCAAGACTATCTGGTAATACATTTTAGCATTGTTCAACAATCGTACAATTAATGAAAAATAACTGAATTCGTCTGCATTATATTGAAAAACCGAAATGAACGCGATTGGTTTAGTCGTTTTAATGGCGCATATCATAGCACTGAAGTCGCTGTGGTATCATTCGAAGTGTGTTAATAACGAAACTGCCGAACTAAAAAAGGTGACAAAAAAAACATATTTACGTTGTTGTTGGTAGGGGAGACCAAAGCTGGTCGTCACATGGGTTAGTTAAGTAAGGGGAGCAGGGGGCGTTTCAAAATTGTTCACAGGATGCAAAACAAATATTAAAATTCAATAATAAAACACCTCGCTTTGAACACGTACCATATAAGGGATAAAATGATCCATATTTCCATGTACATGTAGAAAAGTAGATACTCATTAATATTATCAATATAAATTGCACAAACTACATTCAACTGTATATAATATTATAATTTTTTAAAAAATTGAATATTCCACAATATATTACCAATACCTATAATACATATTCTATAACATTATTTATGCTATGTTTATGTTTTCCGATAGATAAGTACTGATCGAACTAAATTTGAAATTTATATAATTAGATCATTCGATTTTTTTCATGTGGTTGACAAATTTGCATCAATAAAATCTCAAAGAGTATCAATATTATACAAAATATTATTTAAGTACAATGCGTATACATTCAACATTATATTATAATATAATCTACATAGTGTAACTACAACACATTTTATATAATTAACTAACATGTTTCTTTTATTTGTAATTAACCAGTTACATTCTAATATATACTTCTATTTACCATGGTCTTTTACTGATATGGGGCGACCTAAAATCCTAAATCCGGTACTAGTCTCACATATTATGTTCCTACTAAAATGTTTAAATTTAATTTCAACGAATTAGGGAACCAGTTATATTAAATTGTTTATGTTTTATCTATTCATAATTAAATGACTTTAAACATTAATTTTTTACCCATTTAAATAACTGATGATAATCAACTCTGAGACTTTTACAAGCTCCTCCGAAAATGTTTGTTATAAATAGCCCTTTAAAATTACAGTAAAAAAGTTGAGAACATAAATCCCTGACTAAAAAATGGAATATTTTCAAAAATATTTATTGTAATCTGGCCTTTCTAAAAATCAATAAGGAATTCTTATCACAACCAGGCCCCAGTCTCCCCTATATGATTTATATCAGTAGTCTATTAATTATAGAAGTTAGCTGATCTGTAAGGGTTTTGCTCTTCTCCTGAAATTTAATAGTGAGTAATTGTAATTAAAAATTAATTTTTTATATATTAATGTATATTATATATATATATTTATTAATTAAAATTTGTTTAATTAATTTTAATAAATTATTAGTTAACCTTTAAAATTGTTAACTTAGCACATTTGAAAAATAATCAAGATAAAATGACTTAACTAAAAAGTGAATCAAAAATGTTCAATGGCCAATGGGCCAGTATAAATAAATTGTGTAAATATGTATATAATATATTTTATTAAAAGGCTTACCTACTTAACCTACCGTTCGCGCGGTTAATTTTTCATATTTGGTCGCGTATTGCGATAAACATTTTCCAAAACGTCTTATTATTTTTTTTAATTGTTCCATATAATATTTTATGTACATTGAGCTGTTTTCAATATAAAATTGTGTTTTTTAGATTTTATTGAATTATTTAATTTATTTTAGGTACATAATAAATAAACACAGGTATTATAATGATTATACCGACCAAATTTTTATACTTTTTTTGAAAAACAATACAGTACTATAACATCTCTTTACAGTAACTTGGACCAATTTTTATAAGGTAGTCTCGGCATATAAGTTTGTACAAATTGTGCATACTTTAATAGACTTGTAGTGTTTCGGTCTTTATTTCTGTCATAAAAAGAACATCGCCCTGATTATACAAACCGTTGAAACTTTTCTGTAGCTTTTATAGTATATACGTATTTTGCTATTTTAGTTTTTATTTAATTTGATAAATATTGGATAGCGGATTATTGGATATTGGATTCTATGTGATCCTTCATCAATATCGAGATAAAGATTTAAAAAATCTGTTGAATATTTTTACGAATCCATTCGTCCATGTTTAAAAAAAAAACTAATAATAATAATAATAACACTTGGTCACGGGGGGGGTAAATATTTTCCAAACACCACACAACCAAACGTATCGGATGGTTCAGCAAACTGATTCAATAAAACAAGTTTTAATTAACTTATAAATTTAGATAAACACGTTATCAACAACTATACGAAATATTAGGTGGATACGTTATTATCGGAAAGTTGAACTGATGTCTGTATTTAAGTTGATAGATTATTTACTTCGCGTGACTAGTAGAAGGTTAATTCTCAATTATAATTTGATTAATATGCATTACTATGCAATACTTTACTGATATAATATGATGGCAAATATATTATGTATAATCTCTTAGTACTTATAACTTTTATTTAAACAAATTAACGTTATGTACACTTTAAGTTATATAAAAATCCTATTTTTATAAAGACAACTTATTTATTATAATTTAGCAAGGTGTATTTTAGATTGTAAAATACTATAATAATGTTTTTTTGAGTCTAATATTAAAGACTGGATATAAATCTATTAGCTGTATTTCAAACACTGGAATAAAACCTTATTACTGTATATCATATTATATTTTGAAAAAAATGCTTGGATATTTTCATAGGTCATAAAGGAGGACGTTTCCGATTCAACGAGTTTTTCGATGCAATTCTACATTTTAATTTTCATTGGACTTTGTATTTGTATTGGTTGTATTATTGGACTTTTACCAATTGGAGTGTATTGGAAACTGATTATCATCACACTCATACTATTTTCAATATTTAAGCTGAAATCGAAATACACCATTTTAAAAAGAAGTTGGTGCCTAGGACAGATTTCCATCAACAGTACATTTTTTATAGTATTATAATAATATTTAAAAAATTTAAAGAACATATTTATAACGATTTTTATGATTTATAACCTAACGATAATTTAAGTTTATTTATTTGTATTAAATTTTAAATCTGTAATTTTAGTCGAAATTCATACAGAATTCCTTCCGGTCATCAAAATAACATTAAAGAATAAATTGTGTGCAAAGTTATAATTCACGTGCATAAGGTTAGCATTCTAAGTATTTTTTTTATTTAGATAATACTTATATAAGTTATACGACATGGACATAAAAAGCTGCCTTAGGATAATAAAGACAGATGTAGTCACTGCTATAGGTAAGAAGTTTGGAAGGAAGTAGTGGAGAAATATATATCTGTACGCAGCGATTAACCATTGTTAATGAAAAAACAATTTTGAGCGGAGTTCGGTTGATAGTGTTGCTTTGTCATTAATTTTTGGTAAAATATTTACATATGTAATAGGTATTAATACCGTTTTTCTCGGTTTCCCATGTTTTCCCCGTTTTTTTGATTTATTGGGAAAACTCCTGTGAAAACCAAAAAATGATTTCCCTCAAGTACCGCCCCAGTTTCCCCATTTCTTGGACAATCTTGTATATGTGAATATACATATCCCTAATTCTCCGCGCTTTATAATAAAATTAAATTTTGACGTCACAGTATCGTGCTAGCTTTTTTTTGGAGAGTTCTAAACTTTGTCAACGTAACTTCATTTCTGGTGTAATTTAACTATTCTTGTCATGCTAATTTTTTCTTTGTACCGCTTCTTCACATATCATATTAGCACGGTTTTGCCTTTATTTTTTTTTTCCTAATATCTTCATTTCTGCTTCACTTATATTTTCTTTAATAGGTTCCCATGTTTTATTTACATTTCCTTCCATAACTAATTGCTTATTTTTAATAATTTTCTGAAAAAATTGTTGGTACTTTTTACATATTTGTTTGTCTGTTAACTTTGCTATATCAATTAGTGCTCTATTTTTTAGATTGCATTTCATATTCTTCTTAATTTTCATTCTTAACCATACGTATCAATAAGTGGTTTAAGATTATAACAGCTCCGTGTATAGTTCTTGTATTCAAAATAATATTTTTATAAATTCATGGTCAATTTGATTTTTACATCTTCCATACTTTAACCTTTTTTTTTTGGCTAATTTCAACTAAAATTTTTGGCTAAATTTAAATAGGTTGCACGTAAACAAATTAAAATCAAAAAATGTTGACATACATTTGTGGGTTCAAACATGCCTGTGAAATCTATTTTTTTTATTTTTTTATCATAAAAAATGTTGTTAAAAAAATGAATCAAAGTTACCCGACAAGGAGTGTCGGGTAACTTTGGGTTTTACAAAGATGTTTATTTATTTTATTTTTTCTATGAACAACTTTTATCTTAGAAAATTGAGGTAGAATTTGACTAAAGAGTTACTTTAGAGATGCTTTTTTTTTCGATTTTATCAGCAGTTTTCTCAGCAAATGTGAAAAACTTGGAAAAAAACATGGCGAAATCGGGGAAAATGTAAGAAAAACAGAGGAAAATTGATACAATGCTTATTTAATTATTTTACTATAAAACTACATTATATCATTATCAACTGAACTTCGCTAAAAATTGATTTTTCGTTAGGAATGGTTAATCATTGCTAATAGATTAAACATAGATACAAATTAAATTACCTATAACAGTGGCTGATACTAGAACGTCTTTTTTAACTAATACCTACATCTCTTATATTTTTCCGTTTTTCCTCAACTATTTCATCAACTTTGTGATCAACCTGTGAAAAATGTCAGCACAGTTCTGTGCCAAAAATGTGTCGTGTTTTGTTCCTGACTACGTCGGTGTGGTGTCAACCGGTTGGAAGATATATTGCATGCTAAAACAGCTTTTAAAGATAAAAATGTTTTTGAATTTACTGTAGAAAAAGAACACTTAACAAATTTCAGTCAATCAATGTATAATTTTAAAGACTAATATTGTTATTAAATTATTTTAAATATTGTTCTCAAAGACTAAACAAAATTAATATGATTTTTTTACCTTGTTACTGTTTAATTACATAATAAACTACATGATGTTATGTTCTTAAATAGTATAGTATGTTGTTATATTTAAAAATAGATTCTTAGTTTTGTATATTTGTACAATAATTTATAGTAATTATAATTATTATTATTATTATTTATTTATTTATTTGAGCACTCCTACTCGAAATCTGGTAGTTTATACAGAGAAAAAAAATTGATAAATTACATAATATTTTAAACTAAAGCCTTTTTAACATAGGCTAATATATGCATTTGGCCTTCTAGTTATACTCTCTTATCGTCACTTATCATGTATCGTTAACATGTTTCTTATACACATCCAAATCATTATCATTGAACAAACACCGCCTATAATCTTCGAATGTCATATCGTGACCACATACCTTTCGCCTTGATCTTTTCTTTACCGTTAATCTTATAAGCAAACGATTTGGCACGCAAGGCACAAAACTCTGTTATCGTCCTTCCATCTGTCTCGTCCAAAAATAAGCCGGGTATCTTTTTTCTCTCAGCAACGTAGCACGGGTGGTCTCTAGGTAGGTTGGTCGTGTCCGTGCACTTCAACAGTCCAGGGTTACTCAATAAGTCTATGTAAAAAATTTTAGTCTCAATATAATATACCAAAGAGTCTAAAAAAGAAATATATATAATACCATACATATAAGAAAAATAACAATTTACCTGTACCGGTTGTTTCTTTTTTCTAAACATCATTTGAATTTTTTAAATGGTTATTTTTAGATTTAGTTCATCGTCCTTAAATTCTGATTTTAAAATACCCCACGCTTCCTTCACTTTCTTCGGGGAATAAATGCTTAACTTGACAGTTTTATAAGCTCGTAAATTGAACATATATATATTTTAATATCTTGTAACCCAACCCAACATCTAGATCTTATGATATATCAAGTATTGTAAATGAAAAAAACATCCTGAAGTTTTAAATCTTTTCCCGCTGCTGAAGGTAATTGAAAGCGAGTAGGTATCTACGTATTCGTAACAACTGAACGCAATGAGTGTCAACGCGGAACTGAAGTATAAATACAAAAAAGTTACAATTTGAATAAATTAAAAATTTATTGTACCACACTGTAACGCTTTTATTACAAATTAATATGAAATATTAAAAAATAATAAATACAAATAACTAATAATAAAACTAGGTATAAAAATTAAATACTTATCTAAAATACATTTTTTTGGGCGTATATTTTGGTGTTTTTTGGCATAATTTGATTACATATTTGGTAATTTTTTAGTGCAATTATGCATACATATACAGTTATAAAATTATACACATCCGAACCCTAGATATCATTAACCATGAATTTTGTACATCATAGTTACTAATTATTGGAAGCAGTCTGGATACTATAAGACCATTTTGGGAATTAAATAAAATTATATTTTGGATGGTTTTCCCAGGGCATGTATATAGTTTGATATATACTGTGGGTTTAGTGCATCCAGGGGTCTGAGCTACCTTAAGAAGTCTCAAATAGACAACTACAGTAATACGACCAATTACCAGAATAAGAAGCAAACTCTGAAAACCAACGACCTAGAGGGTGGATGAGTAGCAGGAGAAGGGTATTCTCTGCCCTGAATATAATAAATCACCTTAAAAGACTGACCATCAGCCAGGGAGATACAGAAGACAATAGGAAAACCACTGCATTACAGATCTTCATGATATTCCTACCCAAGAAGCTATCACTAACTAATAATGATCTACACAAGAAAGGAAGTGGGACTAACTGATATTGGAATTAGAATACTAAGATCCAACAGGAATAGATAGAAGATATCCAGGTCGTCATCCAGCCAAATTCATGTAGATATTAAATATGACTATTTTAAAATTGGGACATGGAATGCTGAGACGATGATTAAAACGGTAAAGTTGGAAGAATTTAAAGAACAAATGAAGAAAGCAAAACTAGATATACTTGGTATAAGTGAAACAAGATGGACAGGAAATGGTGATTTCATATCTGATGAATTTAGAAATAAATCATTTATATTGGAAACGAGAAGAGGTAGAAATGGAGTGATAGTGGTATTGCAAAGGAATGTACACTCATAGTAAAAATAGAAGCAAAGTTTACAAGTATTTACACTATACAAATGTACTTCCCTGTATAAAAAATTATGGATGAAGAAATTGAAGAAACGTACAAACAGATCGAAGAGCTCACTGTATTCACTTTGCAGATAACATAGTTACCTTAGCAGAGTCTGAACAAGAAATGAACATTATGTGTTGAACATTTTAGCAAGTCAATTTGACCAATTTAAACCAAGAATTCTGCTACCTTGGAAGTATCGTAACATCTTATTATAAATCAACAATAGATATCAGAAGAAGAATAGCACTAGCAAAGCAAGCATTCCAAAATAAGAACCTATTTCTTACCAATAAATATCCGAGCATCGGAATACGTAACAGATTCGTTAAGACATTTATTTGGAATGTGTTGACATATGGCAGTGAAACATGGACAATGGACTAGGAAGACAAAAATAAACTGGAAGCGATAGAGATGTGATTGTGGAAAAAAATGACAAAGACAAGATGGAGAAAAGATAAATGATATAGATAATTGAATTAAGGAAAATAAAATGAGTTGGACTCATCACCCGATACAACGACTTTATAACCAACATATTTGAAGGAAAAGTAACTAGTTATAAATAAACAGGATGCTCAAGAAAACAATATTTTGAACATTTCCAAGAGCTCATGAACCTTTGCTTTGCTGAAGAATGTGGCATCAAATAAAGAGGAGAGGTTTCAATGATCAGAAATAGCCTTGGTGGGTAAGACACGTTTTAACGTGCTATCAAAAGATCGTCTAGTCACCATCATGTTCTGTTTTTTCGCGCAAATCGACTTTTGTTGCCGTCACGATGTTGTACATTGTTGGATCTACAAAACACACATTAACATTTAATTTTCTGACAAGACAACAAAACAAATTATTAATATTCGAGAAACTTTTAGATAAACAAAAACAATGCTATTGCATTATAAGAACACTCGTGAGCACCATAGTTACTTCACTGTAGGGTAAAGTTTTCCCTCATCTATTTTGTATTATAAAAATATTCTTTGTAAAACAATAAATAATCGAATACAATAACATTATAACGATCAATTTATTGTAATTTGTATACTAATTTTTGAAAATAAAATAGAAAATTTCTCTAGTGATAAAATGCTCTTAAAATATTTTGTTACTTTTAGCAAACCTAACCTTACGCGTATTTAAACTTCCCTAATAACATTAGAGAAATATTTTTAGAATTTATATACTTCTAATACAGTAGGGAATTAACATGTGTCCATTATAATAGCTACATACTATATCAGTGATGTATCCAGGATTTTTGAATGCTATAGGGATGACGGCTTAACATAATAAATTAAAATTATATACAATGATAGTGCATCTAAAATAGATTTATAATCTACATCCAATTATATTATAATTTTATGATTACCATATAATAAAACAACTGTATTTGTGTTGAATAATAATGACATGGGGCCAATTTTAAATTTATTTGAATATTTTTTAGTTACTCAGTATTAATCTTGATTAATTATATTTAATCCATAGTATATTGTGTCTAAATTACTTATTCTTAATTCCTATAATATTATTTAACAGTGCAATATCATATCATTATATCATTTTTTATCATATCCTAACAAAAATTATAATTATACCCTCTTTATTATACCTCACGAATGTGAGTGATTAATTATATAACTATATTATTCCTATATTAAAGTAAAAATGAATTTTAAAAGTCTGAAATTCGGAATCTTATACTACATTCGAGTATATATTATAAAATACAAATAATTTCCAGAACGTCTCGTAGAAAATGAGTGTTACATTTACTTAACCTAATTAAATATTTTAATGACAAATGTGTGATTTAACATAGTTTACGTTATTTAAATATGGAATTTCTAATATAATAAATTGAAATTGAAATTCTATTTCGGGAGTTTGAAATCCGCAGTTCGAAGATCGAACATTTCTGATCGCATGGTAAATGATTTTAATTTTGTTTATTATGATACATTTAAAGATTAAAATTTACTATTCATAAAAAAATGTGAATTTCATTGAATAAAATAAACTATAAGGTTAGGCACGTATTATACATTAGAGTATAAACGCGTTGATCATGAATTACTGACAATTGTGTTGGGCAAGTTAGGGTTTAGTCATCCATTTGTTGTCTTGGTTTAACTCTAATCTTACACAGATCCCCGTTCACTAAAGTTCAAGGTTTCTTTTCAGATACGGTTCCTATCTCATCAGAAATTCCCCAAGGGTGTTATTTATCGTCCATCTTATTTAATTTATTTATAAATGGGAATATTATCAGTTCTTAAGAAATACTACGCTCTGTACTTTGCAAACAATTTAAAAATATTTATTTGTATTTCCTCGTTAGATGTTGTTTAGTTTTATAAGATGAATTAAATATTTTGTCTGATTGGTGCCGAAATTGGGGTACACGTAAATATTGATAAAATGTGTTACTCAATGAGTTTTAACAAACCCCGTGAGCATGAAATTCATAAGTATTCCATAAGTAATGTCCAACTTAAATCAGTTTCTTTAATTACAGATTTAGGTATAACTTTAACCAATAATTTAAATTTCCATGATTATATTGAGTGTGTCGTGCAAAAATAATTGAAAGTTTTGCGCTTTATTAAATACAACTCTTTTAATTTAAGATCATTAAAACTCCTGTATTCCACGTTATTTAGGTTTATTCTAGAATAAGGTTCTCTTATCTGGTGTCCATACTCTAAAACTGACTTTGATTTTATCGAACGCATTTAAATAGGTTTTTAAAATTTGTAGCACAGAAATTCAAAATCACCATCCATAACCATGTTTATATACACATTAGGTCCTCTCTAAATATTCCAGCCTTATCCTCCAGACGTAAATTAGAAGATACAACTTTTATCTACAAGGTAATTAATGGTATCACTGATGCTCCAGATCTTAGCTAACAAAAATAACCGTTTTACATACCAATAAACAGCACAAACTATTTAAAAACACCTTTTTTTGTAAGAATTTTAAGATCAAAATATATCTATATCTTACTTTCTACCTTCTTACTCCCTATATCTTACCTTTCCAACTTCTCACATATAACGGGTTTCTACCCATCGTGCGAAGTATGTCTTTTTACTTATAAACCTCCTATGATGAACTTACTCTCCCTAAATTTTTTTCCCTGTTTATGCTTTCATACGGTATCTGATGTTTGATATTGATAATATTGAATTGTTATTATTAAATAAAAACGAAACAGATTAAAAAAACTTACTGACGAAAATTTATCCATTTCAGATTGGAAACATACGTCACTTCCATTTAACGTAGCAGCGATTTGGAATTATTTTATGAGTGCAAAGTATTTTTTTCTATATATAAAAATATTTTATTAGTACAATTATACACATAAATATTTACTCGAAATAAATTGAAAAACAAATTAAAAACAAGATTATAATATTTACTGCTAAGTGGGTTTGGCAATATTTGTTTGGCGGTTCGGCGGCAACATCTATTGAAGATTTCGGTATCTTATAATTTCCTGGACCGGGTATGTCCTATCGACAAATTAAAATTTTTTTTATAATCTTATATATCTTCTATAATTTTTTTATGATTAAGTATAATTAGCGTGATAGTTGCAAAATTCACAACCGTGATAGTTATCATATCATAAAATATCGTCGTGTGAACAGAGCAACAGTAACTATCGTGAAAATAACCATCATACTATCATGCGTGCATTCATGATAGTTAATAGTTACTATCGTGAGACTGTTAAAGTAATTTTAGAAGACATTAGTATTTTTCCAGATTATTACGTTTCAGATTTTTCAGTCTGGGATTTTACTTTTCGGATTTTTATGTTCAGGATTATTACATTCTGGATTCGTATGGCCCTTCATGTGAGGTGTGTAAGACTATACATCTATAGTGATCTAGTTTTCACTATAAGTACTATATTCTGAACTGCCGAAAAGTCTCTTATACGTTTTAAACTGTATTCCGATCGAAATTAATGCACGATGGATTTAGGAAAATTGCAATTTTATGAAATTGAACCAAAACACGCATAATAATATTATACTAACTTCTTGGAGTGCTTTTTTGACCAAGAAATCCAAATATCTTCGACCAGATTTGTGTTTTAATTTGTTTTTCGGCGTCATGCATATCAACGATTCGAACATGGGTTTCGCGCCGAACAACGACGGCAAATCATAATGACCCGGACCGGGATTGACCATTTTCTCCTTTACGATATTTTTTTTAATCTTAATGGTGGGCTTTGGCAGTAAAACATTTCTAATTGTGCATTTCGACTATAGAATTTTGCGTAAGAACAGATATTAGGCAACTATTTTAACTGCAAATGTATTACATATATTCTGAGATAAACGCACCTTTTGAACAACTCGTTTAACATTGATTAATTTATTTAGCCGGTGTATGGGAAACTTTTTGACGGTGGGCCATATTATTTTTTCTTTAAAATGCTAAAAAAAAAAAATAATATAAATAATAAATAATAATAAAAAATTATTTTATTTTTATTTTTTAGATCTATGCACGCATACACAAGGTTTTCGTGGTTCTGTGTTTGATTCGTCGTTCACAAAGTTGAACTCGTGAATGTCTGTGAAACCCTATAATAACATAGCTAAAGTAGTGAACGTTTCTATGTATATGTATATATATATATATATATATATATATATAAAAATACACTGTTCGATTATATTTAACAAGATATTTACCATTTCATCATGTATGTAATGTATCTTTATAATTTTCTCCGGGTTGGGTTTAATAGAATTATAAGACTTTTTATTAGATTTCGATTGAGGCTAAAATAATATATGTTAGGTTATATATTTATATTTATATAGTGATAAATCGAAAAATAATTAAATAATTAAAAATGTAATATTTGTTTCCATGAACAAAAAATAAATGCTCTGCATCAACTATGCATGTTTAATAGATTGTATTCATTATATTATTGTACTTTTTGATGGTCATCCGCGAATCGAACGTGACTGTGTTTTTCTGTTCTAACAATCTTACTGGTCTCACTGGCTACTTTTCTTAAATAACACGGTAACGGTAACGGATCCCAGACTTCCGTGTATCGGGGTGAACTTCCTAACTGCAATACACCACGAGTTATTATTATATAGTTTTAGTAGAAACCACGGTTGTAGATACGAGTGTTATGGTTGACTCATGATCACTGAACTGTATAGAGCAGTTGGGACTCAACAGTTTTTTGAATTTCACGTTTTAGCTATACTTATTAAGTAATTTAACCACAGATTTTTATACTGCCCTTCTAGCGCAATAAGCAGTAAATGTCAAATTTTCAAAATTGAGGTTATTTAATTTTCGGGTTAATGACATTTTTCTATCCTTAGACGAAATATAGTAACTCTACTAAAATGCATCATAAAATGACGTATTGACCTACACATAGTCCACAGTGGCGAATTTACGGGGAGAGGGGGGGGCAAGAGGTCTGGATTGTTAAAGAATAATCATATCCATTATACCTATCGTAACTATCCTGTTCCTATCGTTCATCGGATAATTATATTTGTTATCTATAAAATCTTTAGTAAAAACATTGTAGAAATGATAACCTTCACGCGATTTTTCCTGAACAGCGGGTAGTATTCTGCAGGACCTATTTTCGAATCTGCAGATCCACAGCCGTCGGAGATTCGGATGCTGGACATCAAAAAAGGCGCACAGTTTTCTATAAAATGTAATACAATTATTAGTTTAATATATAATACTGAAGAGGTTCGAATAATTAATTCCATAGAAACCGAGGAAAAATAAGACAGTGGCCCATCTAGCTTACGAAATATGTCCATGTATCTCTTTAATTCTGAAACTTTATTTTTAACATCATTTACTCGTCGAGGATCATGGATTTTTAATACACTTCCGGAATGTTGTGTAAAAAACATAATTTATTTTATGGTTTTAAATAGTATAGAGTGTGTTTTATTATTAAATCATGGCTGCTATAAACAAAATTTTTACAAATGAAAAAAAAAACTTTTTAGGGTATCGTAGATGAAACTATAATGGAGAATAGAAAAGTGGGGGAAATTCTAGACTTAAAAGAACAGCACATATTTGTGTGGGCCGTGTTTGGAGGAGCCGAAAAGAGCTTACAAAAGTCTTTGAGAAGAAAAGAACGAGCTCTGAATGATGTGGAAGATTTTTATTGTAATATAAACAAAAAAAATAATAATAGAATTGAAAAGAATTATGAAGAGGTGTGGGATAGTCCTTATAGAGGCTTAAAACCAGAAGAACAATAAGTAATAATATTAACAACATATACGCAATGTGTTATTATACGTTTATTATACTTACGTTTGTAGGATATGTTTTGTTGGTAATCAGGGTTGTACCGGTCTGGTGACATGGACGTTTCCGGGGAAGATTTGAACCTTTCCGCTTTGCCGAGCATCGTGAATTTAATAATATTATAATCGAAAAAGCGTACTTTTGCAGTTATTGTAGTGGTTATCTAGGTACCTGAAAAATTATACGTGCTGTTGGAATAAGAAAAGACACACGCGTGGAGAGAAACGGGAAGTCAAAATAAAATCACAAATATGTATATAACATACAAATTTAAATTGTATTGTCCAATAACATAAAGCATAATATTATAAGAAGTATAAGTTATGTAAGTATAAGTATAAGTTAAAATATACCAAATTAAATTGTAATAAGATTTCGGACAAGCTCTGATATTATAATTAAATATATTGTAATAATAATTAATGTAAACATGTTACGTACACAAAAAATAGATTGCTAAAATCCGACGGCCAAACAAAAACAGACTTTAATACGTATTGAAAGAATATAATATTGTTATTTTCGTTAATTAGATAACCAAAAATAATAAAAATTAATAATAGTGGTCACCTAGGAAACTTTTTGTTTTTGGTTACATGTTATGAATGCTGCTATTTTACGGCTTTTTAATTCTCTATTATTAATACTCATGATATAAACGTAGTTAAAAAATGTTGCACGAAACGATGATAAGAGCATGTTGGGGGTGGTAGCGGCAGTTATCAAAAAATTATAATAAATCAAATTATAGCGATTTGAAAGCGTAATATTCCAATAGGTGCTTTAATAGGCTAACACTAAATATTACTATATTGAATAGTAAAATTGCTTCACCTGCATCTGAAAGTAAAGCCAAACAAAGCAAGTGAATGAAGGTAATTTATCGAAAGTAAATCACGATTTGTTATGCAAAATCACGTTGAGAAGGATTTTATTCATCGTGCAGTATCTAAGTATGTGACTGGGCCACGTTACTCAATTATAATTTTTTTCGGACAACTGTTTATCATCCAGTTAACAATATGCACTTATTATAAGACAGCATTTATATCTAGAGATCCCATATTTATTTATTATAAATACGGGGCATTTTAAATCGCACTTGAAATTTACATAAATTGCAACAAAACATTATGTGGTGGAAGAAGAAGGTGACGATGGTAAAGACGTAGCTTCCAAAACTAGTCCGTAACTCAAAAGTTATCCAATTAAAATCAAAAGAATGTTTACTTTTTACATCAATTTTTGCAATATAATGTTGAAATCAAATTGACGGATTAATATTAAAATAATTCAAAAATGTTATTTGTCTACAGTGATACTATCCAATCTCATAATATCATGTGGCTACTGCTAGACAAAGAAACAAAAAAAAAAACTAAAGTTCTGATCTTCTTAGTAATTGTTACAATCAATCTCAATTTATTTAATCAAAATATATTTTGCAGATAAAATTATTTGACATAACTGCCATAACTAGATATTATCAATTAAAATAATGTTAATATATAATTTAAGAAATAAGGAAAATTAAAGGACATATGGGATGGGTGATTTAAAATACGGGACAAAAGTGTTGTTTAGAATATTTGGTCGGGACACCGGGACGCTTGTCTCAAATATGGGACAATTCCGTATAATACGGGACGTATGGGATCCCTATATATGTCTCGTTTTATCTTTTCTTTATCGATATCTAATATAATAACACTGATGCATTGGCAAGTGGGAATATGGGGGTTGAATTCTAACTCTATTTCTTTCAGCTCAATATTAACAGTTCAATAAACATTCTGTTTCCAATTCCCGATTTACTCATATTACCAGAGAAGGATTTAGATAAATTATAAATGAAAAAAAAAGGTTAATTTGAAGGTATCCATACCAATGCACCCACCTATTTGGACCACATATCACAACGAAAAAAAATATAATTAGTTTGACTGCGGATTAAAAAAAAATAGTTAAAATATTATTATCTATAATCAAACAATCGAATTAAATAAAACATAACTAATAACCCACTTTTTAAACACGCGTCTTTTATATTACAAGTCTCATGGACTTCTAAAAACACATTTCACTACCTATGTACGGCTCCAACTATGATGTTAGTTTTTGACTAAGTACTAATACATACTCAAAATTACACATTGCACACTTAAATCGTATTTATTCTTGAACTAAAACACTAGTAAATAATAATCTCTATGCCTACGAGTTATGAGGCATAAATTTACGGGTAGTAAATTTAATTCTAGATAGTTCTTCTGAACTTATATACCTACCATACATACATTTTGTTTACTAATAAATTCCTATATAATATAATTAAATATTCAGAAATTAATTATTACATCGGAATTTCATTATAGGAATATAATCGTGTCGATCACTCATTTTTATTACTTCGTTACAATCGATAGTATATTAGTTATCATTAAGAAACAATGACGTAAGTACGGACGCGCACAACGACAAAGTATAAAATATGAGAAAAGTTATTTTATTTTATTATTAATCTCACGATTATATTATCGATGAAATTTCAACACTATTAATATTATAACTTAACGGTATTATTAATAAAATCTGGGCAAGCCGCACTATTTTACTTACTGGGTAGGGAAGTAACAGTTACTGTCCTTTATTCAGTGACTAAATTAAATTAATAGATTAAGTGCCTAAGCTATTATAGTAAGAAAGTACTTTTTTCATTATATTACTTCAATTTACTGACACACAATTAAACATTTTGGTACCAGTCTACTATGTTTAATGTCGATAAGTGATAAAGTGATTACTGATGTAACATAATTTTTTTTAGAAAATATAGATTATCAACAATATTTTCAATAGATGATAATATTATTATATGATTATTCGCTATGTAGACAATATTTTTTTTTTTACAATGCAATTTAAAATTACAAAATAAGTAATTTTTTATAACCGGAAATTAAGAAACTCTTTAAGTTACTGATGAACTATGATTAAAAAAGTACCGCGTTCAGATATATGTTATAAATGAAGAAAAGGTGACTTACAAGTTATGAAATTAAACCTATTTTTGTAATATAGTTATAATAATTTGTTTTAATCTTAATTTATGGTTTTATAATATAGTGAATTTTTTTCCGTACAATCACTCATTTTTTAATGTATTTCTCGAAAATCTATTATGGGAGCCAAATATCTTAGGTTGCCTACTTCCGGGTGTCTATATGTTTAATGTATAATATTATCATGTATTAACTTATTTTTTCAACCGATATTAAAAGAATCTTGAAAAAAAGACCACAGAAATTATATTTATATCGGTATGCTCAATGCTCGTTGCTCTGTAATGGTTTTATTTTGTTTAAATAAACTATAACTTTTAGTAAAATTTTGAGTAGCTATTATTTTGGGTGAATAAAATTTAGTCTGTTGACTGTCACCAATTTGTAAGTGTATTGCATTTTAGAAATGGCTATTTTTAAATTAAATAAAGGTGATTCAAAAATAGCCTTTGATGAGTGTTACTAAGTTAATTATCCTGAAATGAAAAGAACCAGTATCCTAAAAACTAACCTTATTGTGACAATGAGTTTGAGTTAATCGACCGACAACTAGTGTTAGAACTATACTCGGATACTCGGATACTCGGATATTTTAAAATCCTGATAAAAATCAATTAGGATATCCGTAATCCAAATATAATTAGCCGGTTATCCGAATATTTAAAAAATTCGAATAAAATATGCTCCAACACTACTGACAACCATTTAACCAACAGGACAATCGACCGATAACTATAATACCGACAGGGACAATCAAACGGCAGGGACATTCGACTGACAATAATATATAAAGTAGTAGTAATTATTTTTTTGTTTACTAATTTATATAAAATAACATTTCCTAACTGGCTGACTGGCTGATTTATTATCACTAAACCAAAACCACAAATAGATCGGGCTGAAATTTTGCATACAGATAACCGTAATGACGTAAGCATTCGCTAAAAAATAATTTTTGAAAATTAAATTTCTATGAGGTTAAATATGGGTTTTCAGGTATTTTCGGCATAGATAACTAATTTTTTGTTTATTTTTTTGTTTAATCATGGCTTACCTTGGTGACATGTACGACAATTCGGATACCATGGACAAGAAAACTATTATTGTTATTAGTACTATTATACTCTTACTTACACTATATTATCTAGTACCAATAGAAACGCATTGCCGGATTTGCTAGTACCTATATTATATATTCAGATTGTTCAATTCAACGAAGATACGTGGTTTGCCTTTACGATTTTTAAAAACAGTCTTCAAGCGCTGTTCACTTTGTTGTTTGTTCTTTGTTGGACATGACCTTCTTTGACATGACTATATTTTCTCTACATTGTTGTGAAGGGACAATATTATGTTCTTCCATCTTCTACTTGTTTATAAAATAATAAAATACGCACCGGAGTTGCGTGTACTGGCTAAATGTAAATAATCGGAAAAATGTTTCGTGTTAGTTGACAATTGAGTGTCCATTGGTAACAATTTTATACAAATTATCGATGAGATAATAAATAAATAAATAATAATCCGTAAATGCATACGAAACATGTATAGCTCAGTGTGTCATGCGTCCAACATATCTAGATCCATCGGATTTCATATTGTATCAATTATGGTAATATAGTTGAAACGGAAATGCATTGCTATTGCTAGATAACAGTGTAATAACAATAAATAATAATAGTTTTCTTGTCCGTGACCACCATATTATTATCCATGTCAACAAGGTAACCCACGAACAAACAAAAATTAATAAATAATCAATTAGATACCGAAAATATTTAAAAATCAAATTATTTCAATTTTCGTAGTGATCTTTAATTTAATTTTTTAAACAAAATATAGCACATATTAGTCACTTGTTATGAGCATATTACTATAGTATATAGCAAAGTAGTATACGCCCTTTGTATTTGAGCACAAGAGTATATTATTGTATTCTATCGATAACGCCTAGTGTGTAGGCGGCTCCGAGAATATTGTAGCCCTACGGCACCCGTGAGAGACCCGCGCAGTCAGTCGAGCTACCACTTTTAAAACTGTACGTCGTCTCAACGGCTATTATAATATATTACTCTTTAATTATATTGTTCGACTCGCATTAAAATTATATTAGTAACCAAAAATCCTTAGAACCGTTTTGTTGTACTTTCTCCTAAAAATCGGATCCTCGCACTACCGAACAAATAAAACAACCCGTACGAGCACAACAACTCGCATAGGCACGGACAACTGATGGCGGCGGTGTTGCGGTCATAATTTTGGAGAAGAAACGTCTACAGAAGGATATCTAATACATCTAATATATATCTATTCGAGGTAATTTTCATTTCTCTTTGCGAATGTGAAAACTACTTCGCGGTCGTCGTAGATATATCGTCATAAGGACCGTTTTATACGAGGGTGACATATAAGTCACTATCGTCAAATTGTTACGGGCATTTATGTGTTGTCAACAACGCGCGCACCGTCTATAGCGGGCAGGCATTGTATTCAACTTTGTGATCCACTCTTCACGTCTCCATCACCGGCGTCGTCGCCGTCGCTGTGTCGTCATCGTCATCATCATCGTACTCACCGTCGACGTCTGTGTGATAATGCGTCATCGCGATCGCCGCGGCGGTGTTACTGAAGCAGCTGCCGTCGTGATAAACTAACTATTACGCCAACGCCGACGCACCGTGGTATTCACTATGCGGATAATATTGTAAGCTAACTGCTACTACTGAATATTATTTTTATTTTTTTTTTTTTTTTTACGCAGTATCAACAGATATGAGTATAAGACGTTTTCATTATTATTATTATTACTATTAGTATTGATGTAAAATATTATTTTGATATTAGTAGCGGTATTAACTATTTGGGGTGGTGATACTACGATTTTTATTGCGTATGAAATTTAATGCATGTTAGGTCGGTCTAGTGCAGTGTTTCCCAAAGTGGGCGATATCGCCCCCTTGGGGGCGCCAGAACTATCCATGGGGGCAATGGAAGTTACAAGCTTAATTTGGGGGGGGGGGCATTTCATTACAAAAAGCGGGCGGTGACAGTTTCATCTGTCGTTATCGCAATAACAGAAACACCGTACGAGATCCAAATTATCTAAATTATTTTTGTATTTAGTACACTCGTGAATGCCGACCTTATTCGTCGTCGTTTTTATAATAATTTTCGTTAATTTGTTGCGTATTATTTTATTTAAATTTTAAACGTTTTTCACATCATGGCTGAATCGAAGAAAAAATGTAGGCAGTATAATATTGAATATTTGAAGTACGGTTTTATTCAATCGCCTACAAATATTACATTACCAATGTGTCTCATTTGCCAAAAAGTATTTTCAAATACAGAAACCATAGATTCTGCAAAATTAGAAGAAGAATTGATAGAAGTAACTACAAATGAGGAATCAAAATTAAAGTTTAAGGAAGGTTACCAAGTATTCTGACTACAAAAGCAGATACCTATACTTTATCCTGGATTGTGGGCTATTGTACAAACATTTTTGATCACATTTTCATCTTCCTACTTGGTTGAACGTGGATTTAGTGCAGTGACCAATCTACTCACTAAAAAAAGACAACGGTTACAAATAACTAATCGCAGGGACTTAAGAATGCTGCTTACGAAAATCGAACCTAATATCAACGAACTTCTAGCAAAACACCAACCACATCCATCTCATTAAGATATTTTTTTTCATTTGTACCAATACATTATATATATATACCTATTTACATAATACATTTCATTTTTCATTGCATACTTTTGTAACAATATTTTTTTTAAGGGGGGCGTCTGTCGGATTTTCTCCTAAAAATTAGATCCTCACACTACCGAACAAATAAAACAACCCGTACGAGCACAATAACTCGTATAGGCACAACATCACTAATAATGTAGTTTTTTATAAGTGAAAGAAGTTTTAAAATCGGTTAAGTAGTTTTTGAACTTATCCATAGTAATAAATTAATAATGTGACTGTCAGACGAGTGTCCTGTCCATCAATTATCCTGTTGCTCGATTGTCCTGTCGGTATTTTGGTTGTCGGTCGAATGGGTGTCGGCCGTTTGTTCATTTCCCGTGACAACAGAAACACTACTCTGCGAGCCAATCTTATATAAGTGTCTTAAAAGCCCTACAAAAAATGAAATTAACTGAAATCCAGTAAGATCCAATACCAATCCTGTCGAGAATTTTACTCAAGGTGTTCCTGAATTAGATGAACTATAATCCAAACCAAAACCGGTTTAGTAACGAAACTTTAACAAAAATGCTAACGGGATGTGGGCAATTTTTAAAGACCGTGTTACATACAATACGATATCATTAATTAGTTAATTTGATAATGCACAGTGTCATCGGTGATTAACAATTATAATTTTATGTCATTATAATTTAAAAATATGACAATTAAAGAATTTAAATTGTCGTTATTTTTTACATTGATCTTTTTTTCTGTTCTTTATTTTACCGCTTATTGTGATACAAACGCATGGACTTCAATTGAAAAATATCCTTTACGACGGCAGTAAACAATAAACGCATCTTCGATGGCAATATAAATGGCGCAGTAACCCATTTAACTAATACAATGTCTAGGTAAATCGAATAGAAACAAAAAAATAGCATAATATTAAAAATAAATAATTATTTAATAAAGTCGGTTATAGTGTCATGGAATATAATATATACGAATATTATACCTACGAATAAAATAATATGGTATCTGATGGGGAGGGGGCAAGTCGTTTATTTTTGAGTGGATATTATTTTATTATTCTCTATGCTGTATATTATTATATTCTTCGTTTATTATTCGAAATACTATGCGGACTTTGTCGTAAAACTACGAAATAGCAATGGAAACAATAATATTATTATCGCGAAGATATTGTTAAATACGTACAATAGTATAATATCGCTGTTATAACAACGAATAGTTACCGAAGTGCGTTGATAAATAATACGAACTATTGCAAACACAAAACATGTCGGATCGCAGAATGTATAGTATATTATATACCTAGTATAACATTATTTTCGCCCCAAGACAATAGCCGATAATAACCGATATATTATTATACAGTATGTGCAATATCCATGTTGTTCTAATATTGCGGTTCTATTCGAAACAAATTCGTAATTATTGTACATAGTACCGTTTTCTGTTGTGGTTAGGTTGTCGTTATCACGATCGTTGTTAGATATTGTCATTATCGGCCTAATATATTATAAAACTTGACATTTTAGTTCACTGTTAGTTGCTATCAAAATAGTTGGAGTTGCAACTATTACGACGGTAACTATCACAGAGACAGCCATGATGCCATGCGATGAAATGTAGGCAGAATGGAGTAAACGAACAGTACCTACCTAGTACTCGATAATGAGATAATGATTATAGCGAAGTAAAATTTGATAGAAACGCGTGTGAGGCGCCATTACAGTAACAATAGTAGATACGTGTTCAAATGACAATAGATATATCTCACGATAGTAACCATTATGCGTGACAGTGTAATAGTTGCTTTCACTAGTTCGATATTTACTGTCACTATGTTTACATGATGGTTGTTAACATACGATTATATAACTATCACGGTTGTGAATTTTGCAATTATCACGCTATTGTAACTATATCATCCCGTGGACCATCAGACTTACATTATAAAAACCGTGTTTTTTTTTTTTCAGCTAATTCTAACGCATACTCTAATATCGATGGTATCATCATTATTAAAAGTTGGTCATATTGAATTAAATGTAGATATTATTACTAATGTTACAGAAATTAATAACGAACATCACGGTATAGTATATATTATATACGTTTGTATAAAAACGACAACTCCTGCCGAGATGAGCTATTGAAATTCTTATGTCTGCAATTAAATAATAATGATTTATTATTATTAACGTTTATATTCCATTTAAATTTCCGATATAAATATTATTTTATCAGAAATCGTATAACCGCGGGAAAAAATGATATTTTCTTAACCGAAAATATTAATATCTAATTAATAATATTATTTTACCATAAATATAATATTATAAGGTATCAAAAGTTAAGATTTAACGTGAAGAAAAAACTAAAAAGTACCTGTCAATCGCTTTTCGTCCCCATTAATAGTATTACACGAGCGAATAGTATATTTTTTAAGAGGGTAGAAGTTATACTATTATTTTTATTGTAGATGTTTTATAAAAACGAAAAAGACGTGGTAAACAAAACTATACTAACCATACACGATGATACATGGCTATGCACCCGAAGTACATGGAGGGGTGGGGAAATGTAAAGTACCTACTGCAAGTGTCCGCATCGCACACCACCCATTCAAACTGCTTTAAATTGAATAATATTATTTAAAAATACACAACTTTCTACTCTCGCGGACACAAGTGTGTCCGACAGTATTGAGTAGGTGCAATATAATAAAATATTGTAAGTTTCGAAACGGACGGTGTGTGACTCGGACGGAAAATATTAAGAATATACGCGGCATGTATTTGTCATAATACATTGATCGAAGCGCTACCTATACGTCCACGTGTGTATATATGTTACGGGGAATGTTAATAATTTGCCGGGTAATGTTAACTTAAGCTGGAAAACGTTTACAAATATCATGATTTTGACATTATAAATAGCGAACAATGTTAGCATTTGGCTAACGTTACCTGTATACGTTATCTGGCTAATGTCGACATTATGTTAACAAATATCAACTAAACACATAGCATTATACAACAGAAACTCAAACCCGGTAACCGTAGTGCGGTATTGTTGGTATACGTAGAATGCGGTTACCTATAGACGCTAAAGGCGTCTTCGCAGCTATAGTCGTGAAACGTGATTACTTCAAATGTGTAAATACCTAACATTATGTGTGTGTAACAATATTATAAAAGTAATTATGATAATCTTATGGGATTATTTATATACTGTGAAAACACACGTTCCGCTAGTATAGGATTGGACTATGCGGTAAAAACCTGGTATATGCAAAATATTTACCCCACATAATATCATTGCGTTCGTTAATATTTACAATAAGAATGGGCGATTACAATTTACAGTATTGAATATCATAATCAGGATGATTTTTAACATCGATATCGGTATTTCATTATGTTAAAATAACAAGTGATAATCATGTTGTTAGTTAAATAGATAAGACTAAATGGACGATGTTCGTGAATAAGGGTATAAGATAAATTGTATAACTTTCCAGGAGATAAAAAATAAAATTAATAATTTACCAAAGACTTATTAACCTTGTGCAGCAAAGAATTTTCTTATCTACGCTTAAACGTACATGGTAATTACGTGATATCAAAAAGGGGATTAATCAAATTTTAGTGCCATTAATTGAACATTCATTTCCCACAATGCACAAATTGTATGTTTAATTTGAGAAGTGTGATTTACACCCCTTTTCACGAAAATCTTTCCATAAAAGTTGGCATTTTTTATTTTACAATGCGTTTTATATCTAAATTTTAAATACTTAATGTTTTATATTATTATTTTTATTTTTTTTATTTTTTATCTAAATTATCGAGAATCGAGTATCGAATTATATAAATGGTTGGTATCGCCCATCTCCACTAAACAATATCATTTATCGACCAATTGTGTTAACTGTAAGACCAATCATATTGCTTTCCCTAAAATCACGTTACACGACCATTAGCCGTGAAAGTGGACGGCACTTTTAAAATGTACCATCGCACATTGTACTATCGTACAACGATTCCCTGATGACTTTCGACAATTCGGACAAGACGATGATGAGCGAAGACGCCTTTATGAACGTTCTGACGAAATCAATCTAACCGTGAAATAATAATTACGGTTCCGAAGCGTATCTATATTAACATATTAATGTATAATGCGTAATATTATAATATAGTCACACGAATGAATCCCGCGGATGTTTTATTTGGTCATAACCCGAAAGGTTTTTGTTTGGTTTAGGTCGATTATAATAAGTAATCACCACCGGCCTTGCCAAACACATAACCAGTCAACACTTTGAAGTTGGTGAATGTCATGTTCTTAGCGAACATTGTTTTGTGTCTGATCACTCGATCAGCGTCCATCGTCTTGGTATCGGTGGAGGTTCCTGTGCAACTGGTTGTTGAACATTGGTTTTCATCAGTGTTTGAGCATATGGGATCAATCGGTTGATGAATTATCGGTTTTTTGCGTCTTTGATTGGTCAAGTTCCTGATTGAAGAATTTCCGGAGTCCACGGACCCGAACAGCTTTCTCTCAAACACTTTCCAGTACGCCTTACGGTACTTCTCGTCTTTTATGGCGTATATCAGCGGATTCAGACATGAGTTAAGAGTACCCAGCCACTGGGCGATCGGCAAACAATTTTCCACCATGGCCTCTGCGTCGGGCGGCAGCGAGAAAAACTTGATCACCGAGAATATCATGTACAACGGCAGCCAGGATATAGTGAACAGCGCCACTACGTACAAGATCATATTGAACACCCGCACCTTGCACCGCTGCATTAGGACGACGACTTTGGGCACCGATTCTCCTGGTACCTGTCGACAACTCACTTTCTTCCAGATGAGCATGTAACATGCGCCGATCACCGACAGTGGAAAAACATAACACAGACAAATGTTGGCCACCACGAAGTACGTGTTACCCATCGCCGCCGTGGGCCAGTTTTCCATACATATCTGCTGCAGAAATGTCAACGTTAGCTAAATCTTTGTCACGGTTTTACAGCGAGAATAAAATTATTACATTTTTACCTATATAAAATTAGTGTTTAATTACAAGCGATTAATGATTTTTCGGGATATCTTTTACTATACTTATAATTAAAAATGGAAATGTATAGTGAGTTGAAAATATTATTATTTTCTGTTTGGATCGAACCGTTTTCAGCCAAAACAAACCATGCAGCCCGAGTCTAGGTGATAATGGCAAAATGAAAAATAATGACCAATTATTTCATTCGAGGTAATGTGGTTTTGGTTCTACACCAAAATATCTCTGAATACATTTCTTCTTCGATTCTTTAACAATACTGTCCTTTCAAAATAATTTTAAATACAAGTTTATCGGAAAAAATAAAAATTATATTGTATAAAATGTACAGCTGTTTTATCTATTGTTATTGTAAAGCATTAGTTGCATTTACATTTTTGGTAATTGACGCATACTCCAAATAAATTGTTCCCCATGCTGATTAATTGATGTTGATTTTTAATAAACTCTTAAGAGGCATATTTATGTAAAACGATTATGCACTTGCGTCGATAAGTGATAGCAGTGGAGCAAGAAAGTTATTACTAGTATTACTTATCGCAAAAAATTTATTCAGAGATACTTTGACGGACCACCCTCGTTTTACACCAAACATTATGTTTGAGAATCCTTAATATATAAATTACTTTGAATTCCCCGACGAACATAATATGGATCGATAATAAAATGCATTTTTAATATTTTAAAATTATAATTATCAGCGGACAGCGGTAAACAATACTAATGAGCTTTCGATAAAGTTATCAGATTAGTTGGACGGTATTTGTGAGAAACACGTCAGACATTAACGAACTTTTTTCTTTCAAATAATACGCCGATTTTGTAGGAAATTTCATGTCATATTTATTGGTAGAACTTTCAGATAAATATTTGTTGTGAAAAATGTGATGAATCAATATTTAATTATGACAAACTTGATATGTTATAATATGATTATTCATGCATGACAAGTATTAAATAATGTGATAAAAGTGATGTCATATCTATAATATGTACACAAAATGATAAGTCCAATAAAATACCTATTCGCTTAAATAATTTTGTTTCATGCCACACAATGATAAGTCAATAAAAGCTTATTAAAAATAACTTTTTTATATAAAATTACAAAAAAGATTAATTATTAGTTTTTTTATTCAATTATTAAAATTTAGAACACATAATTTAAGTTTTTAAGAAAATAAAACTATTTTTATATTCTACTCAAAAATTTAAATTTTTTACTTAATATTATGATATTTCACACACAATCGTTCAATAAACAATAGGCATTTCAAAAATATAAATGTTAAGTTGTTTGACGGGATAAAAATTGTCCGGACTATTCTCTCCGACAAATTTTAAATCGGACATTTTTTCTCCGAAATAAAAATATTTAGTTTAGGACAAAAACAAAAAATACCATCACATACAAAGTCTAAATAGATAATAATATGTGTAATAAAAACAATAAATGCGTTCAAAAATATTTTATTGTACTACCGTCGAGTTTATAAATTATTCATATAGATTATAAGATTATAATATTCGTATACACGATTGTATACAATGTGTGTCCCACGAAGATACACTTATTGCAATACCTCCGGAGATTATAAAGATAATAAAATTTTGCTAAAAAATTTAAAACAAAACTTATTATTTTTAAAAAATTTGTAGATAGCCATTTTATAGTTGTAAACTCGTGATTTTTATAATTTTTTAAAGTTTAGAGAAAAAAAAGTCTACAGTCAATATTAGCCATAATAGTAATAATTATTTTACATTTTTTGTTATTCCGATTACCTATTATCATGCTGTAATCACATTTACTAATTGTAATTGACTATTATTATAAACATGAACCAGTTGTTTTTTGTTTTATAGATTCTGAGTGGAGCAAAGAAACTTATGGTTTTACAAAGAAGTTTATTTTTTTTTCTGTAGACAACTTTTCTACCAGAGATTTTTCTCCGATTTTTAAATGAAGCACTTTTTCTAAAAAGAAATATGACTAGAAAGATACTTTATGGAGATCATTTTTCGATTTTTCCAAGAGTTTTCTCAACTAATGGGAAAAATCGGGCAAAACATGGGAAACCTACCTTCTCAACTTCCCACTTACAGCAGTGGCTGTACTGGTAATAATAATCCACCGAGGGAATCACTTGTTAATGATAAATTAATAACTATCTGTATATACATAAACTCGAGGAGTACAATAGTTTCTATCGCTATACGCATCACTTCGTTTTTTACTACACATTTTTACAATTGTATATTTACCATGTTTTCACTGTCTGGTCCTAAAGGCTGCACATCGAAGTATACCAACCACGGCATGGGAATAATCAGCGACACCAACCATATGATTGCCAGCACAAAAGATGTGTTAGCTTCGTATTTGCTCAAGGGATAGCAAATAGATTTCCACCTTTCCACAGATATGACCATCAGGGTATTTATCGACGCGTTCACTGACATTCCTTGTAAGTACGGGATGAGTTTGCATATCCATTCTCCAAGATGCCATTCTTATTCGGAAAAAAAAAAAAGTTATACAATTTTACAATTGGAATATTACATTATTAAACGGGAGTCACATTATTTAAAATGAACAAATTTTCAGGGGTGGAGAGAAAGGACAAACAAAATTCAATTGCTTAGCATATGGCACGTTAGGAAACATTTAATTGTTAGACTATCTAGTATCAGCAAATAATTCAAAATTATGTGTTTATTGTATCCGGTTACTGGTTATTCGTTGTTAAAATATTATTAAGTAAACAAAACCTTTTGGCGATTTTGTAACCAAGTACAAAAAATATGCAGTACACTTTTGACGAAATTAAATACCTCCCCCCCTCCTTCCCATGCTCAAATGTTAATATTATCTTAAAAAATAATTTTGCATAATCGAAACAATATCACCCTGATAAACTTTTACGTCTAGACATTCATTATTATTTGTACCTAAACATATATTGTGAATGGTTCTAAAATAGTTTTTTAACATATCTCTTTCTCAACGACATATACACATACGTGTATTTATATATGCTCAATATACATAGGCTTAGAAGCATTTATTTTTATATTGTTATTTGTCTGTATCCGTGTGTATAAGCAAGTACAGCACTTAAGCGAGAAGAAAGTCACTCGTAACATTTTATACTCGCTAGCGCATTATTAATTTCCTACAACAATGGGTTTTTCTTTTTCCGTAGTTTCTGTTATTCTTGAGCCATTTGAATACGATATGTTTGTGTTACTTCTATAACGGTGGCGTACGAAATGTAAACATTGTACTTTGGTTTTGACAAAACGAACTAAGCCATATCTGTTTTTTTTTTTGTTTTTCCTTTAAAACTTAAAACAAATTAATAGGTAGGTACCTACATATTATATGTTTGAAAATATTAAAAAAAATCTGGACAACCATGTGTTGGTCACTGTTGGCTGTTGTGTATGTGTGACAAATTTGAAAAGTATTGTATAGGTATAATGTTTTTGAGAGATTTAGTTTATATACTGAAAGCATCAATAAATCATCGCTATCAAAAATCGATAATTCTGAGCGGAGTTCAGTATATTGATAAAAGTTTAGCTTTAGGATAAAAGGTTAGGTTAAGTTTTAGTATTATTAATAGTATTAACCATAGGGTATAGTCATTTTTCCCTTGTATAGTAAATGTATAGAAATCACCCAAAATAAAACCAATTATTACTATTTATTGTCGTTTGTTCTTGGTTATTATTTTTTTTTTTGAAAATCTGTGGGAAATTAAGACATAATTTTCCGAAAATGATTACTACCAGACAAAAAAATCGCATCTATAGATATAAGTACCTATGATGTGAAAAAATCAGAGCATTCTTGAGAGGTTAGGTTAGGTGAAATCAAATTAAATCAAAAAATCAAAAATAATCTCTTCGAGAGTTTTTATTTTTCAAATTCTAAAGCAGTGGTTCTCAACAAACCAGACACTGCCAAACACAGCCATCAAAATATGCATAGTTGCATTGTAAACATAAATAGATTTTAAACAATTAAAACTATAGGTTCTAGAAGAAAACTATGATTTTATTAAATCAAAAATATAGTACGCAAAAAAATAATAAACACATTTGAATAAATAGAAATAATTTAATAATAAGAACTTAGTAAAATGCCCTTTTGGGGTACACAATTTGAGTAGTGGTATTATAGAAGAGTGTGTTATGGGGATGGAATATTATGTTGTTCCGATGTGTGATTACATGACGGTGACAGCAATAATACGATTTTATTCGGAAATATTTAGAACTCTCTTATATTTTTTTCCTTGAATATTTTGTACCACCTCTATAAGGGTCTATTTCGCCCCGATCGAGAACTATTGGTTTAGTGTAAAGCTTAAATGATAAGTTAAAAGCACAGCTTAAGATATAATTTTTTTCATTTCATTGGAACCTCTAATGAAATAATGAACCTGAGATAAATAATACTATTTTATTGTTGTTTTATACAACATACTTGTATATTAAGACTTGTGAACTCAACAAGACTAGTGTACTTTACAAAAGTTCACGTTATTGGCAAAAGTCTGTAATTTCGATTATACCAAATGTATCGAGACAGGAAAGTAAATCGTAATCAATATTTCTACTATGATATAAGTAAATCGTAGGGTTTGTGAGGTCAATTTGTATATCTTTTGACGACCTATCGTGAAAAAGTTATATTTGAAAAATAAAAATAAATTTTTAAACGTGAAATGAGAAATTAAATATTTTTTTTTCTCTTTTTTATGATCGTGTCCAATTGAGAATGTTCCTAATCATTATCTACATTGTAAAATAGTAACTTTTGTTTCTCGAACTATTACCGAAATAATTGTACGCTAGAAAATATTGGTCAATTAATATAAATATATTACAAAGTTGATTTGTAATTAAACCATCAATCTTCACTCGTGTTTCAACGACTCTCGAACGAAATAAATCGTCTGTAAGGTTATTTAAGTCATTTAATTGGAAGTTTGGTGGATTTTGTTGGTTTTATTTTTTCTACCGACCCAAAACGAAAAGTTAGTATAAAATTGTGTTTTATTGTTTTGCTGAATTGGTCGCTAGATATCCGGGGTTCGCGTTGTTGATATGAGATTACATTAGGTATTCTTTGTACGCCGATAATTAAAATAAAAAAAAATGTATAAATATTTTTATATTATAATCAGCGAGTTTCATACGCATTACTTATTCACGTGAGTGTTGTGACAGTAGTGCAAGTACCTATACAGTTCAAAACCCCGTAAATCATTTCATGTTTTGGTGTACCGTGTAGTAATAACGTTTCGTTTACAAACAAAATATTACTACTTCAGCTCTAACCATTTTGCTTTTCTGCGGTTTAATTTTGGAATGATGTGTTATTTATGGAACAGAACTAAAATAACACCAATGATGAGCAGAGTACCTTCTGCATTAGAGTAGATTTTTTTCCGGTCGAAATGTCACTTTTACAATGTTTAATTTTTTGTTTATATTTTGGTCTAAAATAGTTATGGTTGCCAGTGAATTTTACTATATGTTAATGTATAGAAAAATCAGGCATTTCGTGTATGAAAAAAATTTAATTTATATATACAAATGGTTGCGGAAGAGGTTAAATGTCGAAACCCTCAAAAGGCATACCCTTGAGATTTATATTATATACATAGAAAATTATAATCTCCCTTGCTTTATTTGGGGATCTGTATGAATCTAAAAAAAAACAACTTCCTCCTATAATAACATAGTGAAATTTAGCCAAAATTTATCATTTCATGGTTAAGTATCTCTAATTCCTGAGGTTTTGCTTATTTGTTTCAGAGGAAGCAATTAAAGTGTTTGAAAGAAGCAGGAAAAATATATAATATATAACAGACACACAGTGAAATAATATCAATTTTCAGGAAAAATTTGACAAAAAATTATCGACTTTCTTGAAAACTTAATGGGGGCCACAACGGCCGTTTTGTTAATTGACTACGTTTTGTTATTAATGGACTGTACGTGTTAGCGTGTTAGCACTTTGCCTGTAACACGGCGTCGGGTGTTGGCAATTTAGCTTCATCCATGTCCTAAATGAATACACGAGTACCGACCATTTTTTTTAGGCAGTGTACCTAAAAAATAAAACATAAAAACTCGAATTGTGCACTAAACCCATGTGAAAGTATCGGAACGAGTACATTTTATGAATTCAGAACAAAACGGAAAAGCTATTATTTTATAGGTAGTTTTAAAACGAGGTGCAGTCGTGTAATAATAATTTTTTACTCTTTTTGTGTTTCGGAAAATAAAATAAACGACTTTGGACGCATACATTTAAACAAGCAGTAAAAAAACACTTTTGATGAATTTAATGTATAAAATAAGTTTAATTGCAATCCAATTTATAAGATTTGGATAATTGAGTTAAAGTGGTTTTTTTTTTTTTATAGATTTTCTCTAGACGTACGGAAATAAAAAAAAAAGTACCGAACAATTATAATAGACACGAAAAAAAAATATAAATTAAAGGAACACCAGTGTTAACGTTTTTTATTTCGTCAACAAAAAATCTTACAAGAGCCCTGAAATATTCACTAAATATTATAGGTAATTGACAAGTTATTAAAACATTATTTTAAACCAACTATTTATAGAACCCGGAAAATGTCGAAGTCTGATTGATATTATATGTGTATGCAATTATTATTCAAATGCAAAGATTTTTTCTTTGATTCTTTCAACTATTTATATTTATAAAAATGCTCACATATTATTTTCAGTTCCGTTCAAACAGTGTTCGAACATTAATGTGTTTTGAAACCAAAAAGTTTGGCTTCTTCGAGCATACCCTGTAATCTTTTACGATTGATTCCTTATACGATGTCCGTGGCTTTTGATACAGTGATTTTATTGTTTTCCTCAATGTAAACTTGTCCATGTTTAATGGGAAAATGACAAAAGCGATTGGATAAACAATCCTTTTCGGCTAAAAGGAAAACTTTAATATGATACTGCAAAAACAAAAACAAATGGCTTTATACGTAATAAATTTGTTTTGGATAAATTGGATTTTATATTATTTTTAAAAATAACAGTTCGTAATATACCGCAGGGCCACAGTAATCGTGTACATTCGGAAACTAAAAACCGCAGACTGAAACCGATCTGAACTACCGATAAATATAAATTTTCATGTCAGGCCTATAGGACGATATTAACAATAATATCGCCGCCTCGAAATGTAGAATATATTTGAACGAATATAAATGCCCATGTCTATCTATATATAGATTATATTTATGGGGCTTAAATTATTATTATGCGATCGTGTTGAGCTCAAAAAAAAAAAAATCCCCCGATCACTGACGTGAATAATAATTTATTTTGAAAATATTACAAAAAAAAAAAACACGGCCACCCACGCGTCGTACAGACGGTAAAATCGCGTAGAGGACTGTGCATAAGAAAAACCAACAAAGCGAAAAAATACATTTTTATAACAAAAGTTTTTTATATAACAACTAATATTACGTATATTTTATTCTAAATTCTAAGCTCAGCGAGTTTTACAATAAAATGTGTGATTTTTGTTTCTGTCTGTATACATTTTTCTACCGGAAATCTTGCTTTAATCAAAAAATTACCAGAGAATTTTTTGTTGAATCTTAGATTTAATTGATTTATTGCAGGAAGTTATTTTTCAAGCAGTTTTCATAAAAATTGGGGGTGTGAAAACTGGGGAAGTTTACGGCATTAGCATTTTTAATATTTTCTATTTAGTTTTTTTATTGTTATTCGGTTAAAAATAATCGTAAATAATTGAAGTGTTTACAGAAAACTTATAATAAGCCTTTTCTAGACGTAGTAAATTTTTCAAACCATTCATTTTGATGTATTTATTGGTAGTTGACATTTTCTAGGTTTTTTTTTTTTATTTTATGTGTATACAATTTTTTTGGTCGTGAAGAAATATTTAAAAACTTTACTCGATGTTTATTATAAGTTGTACTTAGTGGTAAAAAAAAGTAGTTTTTTTTATAATCGTTTAAGATAAAATGTTGACAAAAATCTTAAAAATTTATCGTTGCGTGTAAATATAAATATAAATATCTAACTAAAATAAATAATTGTATAAATCCAGTTTTCCCAACATCCCACCTAAATAACGGTACACTCACCATCAGTACGCATTGAATATTAACAATATTCAAAATTGAATTTTTTTGTTTTTTTTTTTTTTTTGTTTATATAATTTGTTTGCATTGCGGTTTTATTGATTATTGTGGTGGTGTGTCATGCACGATAACTCGGGGAGGAACAACAATAAAAAAAAACCGAACTGCCGAGTAATATTATTGTATTTCTTTTGAAAATCAAACGAGAAATTACACTTGCATCGAATTCAAGCACCAAGTACACGAGTTTACATATTTTATATGTAAAAAGAAAAAACACACTCTTCCCACGAGAGCCGAAATATCACTCGCGTGTTGTATACGGTATTACATACATTTTATTATTCGACATTATATTCGTATAACACGGAGAGAAGATTACATACCTATATATATATATTTGTGAATTGGAAAATATATTTTGTACAACGAATTCTTTATATGCCATCCTCTGAAAAGTTCTTTTTATGAATAGTATCGTAGTATCTCGCAGTATCCCGAAACTTTCACATTATATACGGAAACACAATGATACTGTAACGAAAACCACGAAACTGCTGCATCACGAAAAAAATATGTTTTGTCGAAATAAACGTTGAACATTTTTTTTCTTCGACGGTTTTTTTTTTTTATCAGCTGGTATTCGTCTCATTTCCGATAGAGAATATTTTTTATTTTTGTAAGGGCATACGTCATTATCATCATATCACTGTTTAAAATTATAAAATATTACCAAATATCAAACCGGACAATTCATTCATAAATGTTTGAAGACTGTTTTTTTAAGAGTTTAATATTGGTTTTACTATGACTATATGTGTTATCGTTTTTCTTTTTTTTCCTCTATAAACAACATTCTATACTACAGTTTTCATAATAATTTAATGTCTAATGCATTTGTACGCCGAATTTATTAGAACTTCTATGAGAAAAAGCGTATTCAATATTATTGTCACTGAAAGTAACATCAGAGTCATATAGGGATCTATTTATAGCCAATCTATACATGTATGTGTATGCAGAAAACATTTTATATTATGGTATGCGAAGTTATTTTTTCTCTGTATTTCGTTTTTCCTCACGGTGGTTCTTATTTGTTTGACTCACATTATTATTCTGTTCGAAAATCGTTAAAAAGTTCACCGTAAAATACACATCATAAATACATACACCATGCAAATACGACATTTCATCCCCTTAGCTTCATTTAGAGGGCCTACTCTACATCTATGTGTTCAAAACTAAAAAAAAGAGCCTGCTTCAATAACAATAAAATTCATACTGAAATTCAACCAAAATGTTGTCACATTAAACACTGTCCATAAAACTACTAAATTTTCTGAGTTTGAGTTTTGAGGCGATACAAAAGTACAAAAGTAGCAGGGAAAAGATAGATATTAAATATTCGTAGCTTGGCGCAAACTGTGCTAATGTTAAAAAATGAAATTGAAAATTTTTGATAAGAAATTGAAAAAAAAAAAAAATTTATTTTAGTATTGGTCATAATATCTTTATATGATATTATTGATGAATCACTTCAGTTTTCAGACCCTGCGGGAACATTTTCTCATATAATTATATAATTGTTTTAAAAGTGACCTATCTATTTCTTTATAATCTATGAGTATTGAGTAAAGTATTTATTTTTCTTGTATCTGTGGTAAATTATATACCAAGGTTTACTGTTGTAAACGGTTGTGCCTCTCCTCCAATTAAAGTCTGGATCCATCACTGCTATAGGTAGTTCATTTTCTGATCTTGAGTATGTTACTCTCGTATTCTCAATTTAAAATTTAATATTTTTTTTTTTTAGTTCAACTAGATTTTTTTTTAGACTGGATTATTTGTGAGTCCGGATATACTTGCGGTGTATTTCGGTCGACCGCTGAGGAAAAACCGTTTACCCCAGATAGTTGTTTGCCATAATAGTAATTTATTTTTTCATTTTCGTGGCTATAGGTATAATTAATTTCGCCAAACGAAACACTTTTGTTTTCGGAGCATAAAAGAAAAATGGATTTTGTATTACTTGAAATGTTCGCCAGGGAAACAATTGAAAACGCTCGGTGAATGCATACAGCATGCGGAGACTTCCAATAGATTTCACCGTCAAATGAATGTCGACATTAAGACAGGCAGATATTTCTACGACAAGAAAACGTGTACACTGTTCATTATACATTTAAAATTTGTACGATGATTATATTGTTATCTGTTAAGACAAAGGTACTCCCATCATGTTCAATGTTCATAAATCACAGTCATCGGGACAAAAAGTATACTTACTGTTCTCGAGATTTTATATTTATTATACACGTGTGCTTTTGGATTACCGTATATGAAATATTACATCTACCTAAAACATCTAATATTTGTTTCTCGGACGTACGTAAAAATAAGTATTCAAAAATATCATTATCACAATAATATTATATTATATTATTATCAAATTTACGTACATGTATAAAGGAATCATCGCTCCAAGTTGTTTTCCATTAGTAATGGTTTATCGTTGCGTACATATGTAAATTAAATTGTCTTCTATATCCAATATTTCCAATTTATCACCTAAAACAGTGGCCCGCCCATTGTGCGAGGCATGTCCGTACTTTTTTGATAATAATACTAACGGTAATACGCCTGATGTTCGTCAAACTAAATCGAAATTTTAAAGATATTTTCCCGTTAAAATTAAGATAAACAATAAAAATATGTTAATAGGCTAAGTTAGGTTTCTATAATAGTAAAGAATGGCGTGAGACCAGTTTTTTCTTAGATATATACCTAATACCACATTATATTACGTTAAGAATGACAAATGATAGCGGTTCGTTTTTAGATAACCCATCAAAACAATAAGTCTATAAAATATAGGAGGTGTGTTCAATAAATACCCATACTAAAACTAATACAGAAAAACATTTTATGTTACCGGCAATGTTGTTGTACTAAAATAAACTAGATATAACAATCATTATTTCAGTATATTATCATAATCACTATCTCAAATCAGTCATCAAAAATACGTGTTCAAAGCGTGTTGTGTAACTTTTAATTGGTTCAAACATTTTAAAGAAGATCGAATATCCATTGAAGATGATCATCATCCAGGATGTCCATCAACATCGAAAACAAATGATACCATTGCTCATGTTCGAAAAAAAAACATAGATACGACCGAAGATTGACTGTTAGAGAAGTAGCCAATGAAGTTGGTACATAAATTGGTACTTATCATTCAATTTATCAGGTATGAGTAATAATGTTTATTACTCAACACTGATATGATATTTAAAATAAATAATACTGAAATGACCTATGCACATTTATTTTATAATTTGTCACTAAATAATATCGTTTACATGTTTAAAATGTATTCGCTTGATATATTATCACCAATACTAATGATACTAATGTAATTATTGCGATGTTATACTAAAGTTTATCGGGGGATTTTACACTATAGGAAGTATTTGTATAAATACACTCCGATTAACGGCCAGCATTTGCCAAAGAACTTTTGCAAAGATTTTAAAGTTATTCCCCATTTTGTGAGGCCCTTCTCAATTCCTCAGTTTTATGTATAGCATGTAGACAACTGTCGGAATGTTTTTAATTAGATATTAATAAAATAAAAAATAAACGCTTTATGATTTCTGTTAGTACAGCAAAAGCTATTATTGAGAATCTGACACATATAGTTAAATTTAATATATATATATATATTTTTTTTACTAGTGTATTTATGTAAAAACTATAATTTAATGTTATTTTAAAGTGTATACAAGGAATTATATTGATTTTGTGTGTATTTATATAAGAATTACTTTTCACGTATACGGTTCACTTCATGTGTGTTTTGCTTTCAAGCTGCAACATTTTGATTCTAAATTAAGTAGCGTTTTACAGATACATCGAATTTTTTAATGTTTGGTTAGAGTTTGATTAAATGTTTAAAAATTCGGTTCGGTTTGGGTTAATTAATTTTAAGAAAAGTTCGGTTCGGTCCTAAAAATTAGGGATCATAGCATCACTAAAAATGAGAAACTAAATTCCCATATGTATTCTATAAAACATATTTAAAAACATATAACGTCGAATGAAAACAAAATATTACGACTCATTTTTGACATTATCTAATCTAATTTGTACGGTTTAATTATTTTTAGAATGTAACCATAGATATTTGACTAAGATTTTTGTTTATGTTTTTGTGATGCGATATAATTATTATTGTTGACAATTTTTAGTGTTTTTTTTTATTTTTTATTTATTATGTATTTTTTGTTTATTTCAATAGGCTACCTGTTATACCTGTATATGTTATTATTTATAAACGTGAAAAAATGTAATTTTTTGATAAATGATACATAAATAAAACAGCTATAATAAAATTTAAATGTAGAACAAAATATGATTCGGTAATATAATCGTTGTTTCAAATTGAATTAATGCGATTGCAACGGCGCAACGGCGACGGTGTAAAAGTTCGAACGTGACAAAAAACCAATTAGATATGAATCAGGATTTTATTATTATAGCTGAGAATATTATTTTACGTTTGTAAAATATAGAAATGTAATGTTCGAAATTGATACTAAAAACATTTCGAATAAAATTTGATTACCCGCGTTTTTATATCGAACATAAAAGCGTTCCCAAGTGTAGTATATTATATTTATCGTTTTCGATCTAATTAAATGGAAAATATTTTTCTTGTCCGAAATGTATGACGAATACAGCACGAAGAAGATAATAAAGTTGCGAAGTATTTTTAACAAGTCCCTATAATTGAAATGTTTTATATATAATGGTTTAAAACATTTTGAACGTTGAAAAACTAGAATGACTAATGTATTCTGAAGAAGTGTTTTCAATATTTATATAGTTCCTATTAATTCTGAAAATATATATGCAATTAAACATTATCTACCTATTGCTTTTGGATAAAGAAGTAACATTTTCAGATTATGATCAAAGTGAGGAATGTATTGGTTTTACAATGATGTTTATTTGTTTATCTATAAACAACTTTTCTACCAGAAATTTTCCCGGATTTTTGGATGTAATACCTTTTAGCTGGGTAATACTTTAGGGAGGTCATTATTTATTAATTTTTCTAGGGGTTTTCGGAATAATTGGAAAAAACCGGAAAAAAACTTAGGAAAACTGGAAAATTTACGAAATTTATTATTTTCAGTTTTTTTTTTTGTTTGGATTCATTTAAAAATATTTTGAGAGACTTGAAATTTGGACAGAAAACTTAGATTCGCCTTTTCTAGGAAAAATATTTAAAACATTTTAATCATTTTGAGCATTTTATAGACATTTTAATTTTGGTTGTTTTTTACGTACTTTGTATTCGGTAAGACTCATTGGATAAAATTGTTAGATCAAACATAAATACTTGAAAATGTAACGAAAGGTTTATTATAATTTGTACTTTGTGGTCAAAAAAATTAAATCGAGTGTAATGTAGAATTTTTTTCCATAGGATATCAAATTTTGACGAAAATCGTAAATATTACGGCCTTATAAAACACGGATAACCAAATTCAGCTCAGAATTTTTTTTCGTTAGCAATATTTAATCGTTGCATACAGATATTTGTTATATATCCCCTCTATCCTATCTTCTCAACTTCTCACCTACAATAATGACCCACCTAATGTGCGAAGCATGTCCGTCTTTTTATTGTTTTCTATATTGTACTATTGTCCTATCGTAGGTGTACATTGTTTAACAAATAAATATGCAATATCTGCTCTAACGTAAAGAGTGCATGACAATGTGCGTATACCTAAGTTTTTTAACTTACCCAACCTGAACAATTTAAGTGTGTGGTTCGAAATTGGAAAACCGATGTCTAACAACATTTGAAGGTTTTTATAAAATACGAGTATATATAAGTATATACATTTTACTTACTCAAAGATGGACAAAAACGATGACATTGTTGTTATAATAATATAGATAAGAACATAGGGTTGGTGTCTGGTGTACCTATAGTTATTATTATTATTATTATTTAAGTAATATCCATATTATTAGAGATCGACTAGATTTGTTAGAAAAAAAAATAATAATAAAATTTAGGAATGCAAATATAGGATTTTAATGTCTTATAATTTTTTTTTTTTTTCTGTCCGAATTTATAGTTTAACCGCTGTATACTAGCGATTTAGCGGTTTTAATATCGTGTATATTATTCTTATATAAAAGAGTGGCGAACTCAGCTTATCACTATTGAATGGATCATCATTTTGTGTAAAAAACATTCAAGACCAATACTCTAGAATATAGTTGTTGGTTAATTATATATTTTCGTCTTGTTTGATGATAGCTTGTTGGCATCTCGAATGTTTTTTAAACAAATTTATCTCTTGTAAAAAGGAAAATATTTACATTTTTCTTTAAAATAATCTAAGTTTTAAAATTCTCCTTTTTTATAATATCATCCTTTTGAGAGATTAATTGTTTACGAGTTCCCTAAAAAAAATCATCTTCTATTAAACAATAGTTTTTTACTTTAAAAGCTGTAATACCTTAAATAAATTATACTGTACTAAAAAATACTTAGTTTATTATATTATTATTATTATTAATTATTGATAAGAAACACGTTAAAGTGTGAACAATGATAGGTATATTAGACACCATTAGTATACAAGACAGTGATCCATGAGTATAGATAATATAAGTTAGGACAGCTAGGAGCCGAGTGGGAACTAAATTCAGGCCAGAGGATTAAAATTGATTAGTGTAATTATAATAGTATATGCACATACTTACCTACGGTGAGGGTGGCGATCAGCGTGAACGGATAGCACAACACGATGACTAGCAGATCGGCAAAGGCCAAATTGACAAGATATATGTTGGTGGGCATCCGCCGCAATGGTCTTTCAGAGGAAACGGCCACTATCACCAACAGGTTGCCCACGATACCCACAACAAACACGATCGTGTACGCCATTATGAACAATATAGTCACTGGTAAAGTATATCTCATCTTGAATCCCAGCCATGTCCAGTCTGCACTGTTCCACTGCAGCTCAAGACTAGTATCGTTGGTAATGTTGATGTCCCTGCGTAAATCAAAAGCCACGTGAGAAAAATTGAAAAACGGTCAGTTATTTTCAGCTTCGGTTAGTCCGTGTTTCAGCGAAAACATGAACCCCAAGCGGGACAGGGTAATTTCAGGAATACCGTGGTAGGCAGGTGGCATGACAGCATAAATAAAGACCAAATTTATAATAATTAAAATAAAATTTATTTTAATTGTAACAAAATTTTTAAATAAAAGTATTATTAAATTGCTACAAAAGAAAATTAAATATAAGCTGTTAAATATAATACAAACCATTTTTAATACAAAATATTATACGGTTGAAATATTTTATTTCCGAGTCGGTGGAGCAATATTATATTCGATATTATTTTTTTCTCTTTAACTATACACCTAATTAAATGCATATCTTTCATTATATTCTCCAGATACTCTTATTTATACATTCGTAGTCACCGAATAGAAGAATTGGGTGCCCTATTATCTATAGAAATTAAACTTGAGTAACTTCTTCGATAGTACACAATCTTATTTGGTCCTAAATATGTTGTCGTTAACAATTATAAGAAAAAAAAAATTTTTCTATTTTTTTTTTCTAATCTGTTTTTCGTCGACATTTAAAGTCTCTATGCATATGTTTAATTGAATTACTTTAAAAATTATATTAAAAATAGTAAAAGTTTTATTTTCGTACCTTTTCCCGTGCTTACTTACTTCCCGTAAACTCCAATGTTACGTATTTTTCGATTTTGCTCAATTATTAATAAAACTACAAATGAAATCAAAAAACGACTTTCTTGGTCACCAATTTAACTAAAAATTCATCAAAAAAGATCTTTTGTTGTTTTTCTATTAGAGCAATTTATGATAGAAAACACAAGCCATACAAATTTTAAATAATAAATAGCACACATTATATTAAAACCAATAGATCCCTTATATGCTCCAAATCTAAAAAGATCGAATAAATTGAATGTTTTATAATGAAAGACGTTCCAAATTAATTTATACGTTTTCAAAATAAAATTGCGACGAGAGGGTAAGTATACGTATCAAAAGTACATATAGTAGATGAAAAGGTAGAAGAAAATCATGACAAAACAATTTTTATTTTATTATTGACGTATAGATGTACAAATCTATACAGACGTATATAAAAAAAACAATTGTAAATTGGTTATGCACATTAATAGATTAATTTCTTATAGCTTTTAACGTGATGTATTAGTTAATCTATCTTTATTTTATCTACTGTTAATAATAACTATTTCTATATTTAGTCATTTAGTATTATTATTTTATTCTATGCGAGTTGTTTGTTATCTAAAATTGTGTACTTCTTTATAATATTTATTCCTAAATTACTAGTTTACTTATTTCTGTTCTAAAATATTTTAATGAAACTCTCTACCTCCACCACAAGCATCGCTTATAAGAGCTATTTAGATATTTATTTTAACTAATGATGAGTACTATTTGTATTTTATATTTTATGTTCCCGAAAAAAAAAAAAAAAAATTTAAACGGACAATTTTCAGAAAAATTAACCTGATTCAAATGTTTGCATCCCGATTGAAAAACTAAAATGAGGCCCTTGGACGAGATGTATATTTATTATTTTTAAAATGAATATTAGAAATGAAATATAATTTTAATTTTGATTATAATTTGTTGACTAAAGAACTAAAAGATGACAATATAATCTTTATTTAATGATCTCAATCCTTGGTAAGAAATTTAATTAATACATTTTAAACATTAAAGAATACAAATAATTATTTTATTTTGTTATACACGACCAAAAAAATGATTACAGTTTTATACTATATTTATATTTGTTATTAAATTGTATTTTATTATTTATATCAGAAGTTATTAAGTATAAAAATAATAACCGAAATACTTAATAAAGGACTGTTCGGTATAGTAAATTAAAACAAAGTTAATTTTAAAACAAATTATTAAACATTTTGAATTTTTATCACTGACGGTAATTACTCGTAATAAACTTAGAAAGTTTTACGCCACGCGACAGAAACAGGACTTGCATAGTAAATTACTAATTATAATTAAACGAATTGTGAGTCTGGTTCTGTAATGAAAAGAAAAACAGTTAATGTTATTTTAGATTTGTGAACCGGAAATATTTTTAGGACAATATTTAAGACAAAGACGATTGTTAAATGGAACGAAATAACTCATCTTAATTTATAGAATAATATGTTTTTTCCTTTGCATTGCTTTAAACTTTAAAAAAAAATAACTAAACAATTGATGTTGCTAGAGGATGAACGGGCAATACTCACGAGGCACTTAAGATTCATAGATCTCAAAACTGCATCGGGCTCGAGTGCCAGTACAGTACGTATCTGCAATATTTGTGACTATGTCATAATACTCATAATACTAATAATATATATCAGTACATAAAAAATATCTCTAAAAGTTCTGTCACCAAAGAAATAGATCCAATTATAAAGTTCTCGAGAGCTTCCTAAATGAGAAAGACTTCTAACTGGGTATGGATTCCCATAGGGAGTTTTGAAGAGCCTTAAATAGAATAAGAACAGGCATTGTGCAATCCAAAATACTAAGTATGTGGATGTGAAATGTGAACCTGAAAAAAGTACCATCTAGATGAAATTTTCTTTCACAAAAAGTACTACACTTGAAAATGGATGAAAGATTTTTGGTACAAAAGTCGTTCACAGATAAAAAAAAAAAGACATTTTAAAACCAATACAATACGTTTCGAATTTAAAATAAATGAAATCCACTATGAATTTTATGATTACTTTTACTGAGTAACAGTATATTATGTCAAATGGATTAAATTATTGGGTAAAAAAGTAGTCTCACTATTTTTGTGTCTCCGTCAGTCAATTTATACTGCGTTTTCCACGATATAATAAATTATATTCAAAATTCTGAACAACTACAATATTTCATTTTGCGACGAGGAATAATTTTGTCACCAGTGTTTTCATGAATTATGCGATAGTGCATACTGTGCTGTGAGCCTGGAAGTGTAGAGTATGAACCAAATTTTAAGGAATCGAAATAATATACTTAAATATACTTTTAAGAATTCGTTGAATATTTCAAATAATTTTCAATAGAAACTGAATAGTTTGATTCTTACGATTTTAGATCCGGAACATAGTGAGGAATGTATTAATTTTACGATGATGTTTTTAATTTTTTTCATCCGTAAACAGCTTCATCTTTTTTACCAGGAATCTTGCTCCAATTTTCAAGTTTTAAGAATTTAAGAAACAATTTAAGAAAAACAATTTTCCAAAGGGTTTTCAATGTTTTCATAATAATTGAGCAAAACTAGAAGACAACGAAGGAAAAACGGGAAAATTTACGCAATGTTTCGAAGAAACTTAGCTCCGAATTATTTTTCGATAATAATGGTTTATCGTTGCGTACTGATATAAATTAAGTTCCCCTCTATATCCTACCTTTCCAACTCCTCATATACAACAGTGGCCCACCCATCATGCGGAGTATGACCGTCATTTTTTAATGATGATATTTTGATTTGCGTTTTAATAGTTGTAGTACATAAACTATAAAGCTCAACGATTTAAACTAACTAATATAACGGGGTCAAACCGATTTCGATGAATTGATCACAAACAAATAATAAGTATTTTATTTATTTTATTTTAGTATTAAGTGTATCTAGTTTCTACGCATAATGAAGTACTAAATAAACAATTTCATCTCAGAAAAGGGATTTCCAAGTTATAATGTACATCTATATCAAGTATGTATAGTAATAGGCACCATATTTGGAAATCGTATTTGGAAATGGAAACCGCTAATATTGATCCAAAGGGTATATACGTATGGTTTCGACGTAAAATTATTACACGCATTTTATAAAATCACTTCCCGCGGTAACAGGAAATTGAAATGTTAATGTTTGTGAAAACGAATTGTCTACAGTTTCTTTTAACCTCAAATTATATTACGGCAGTGGCGGCTCGTGCTATGGTGCACAGGAGCATATGTGCACTCCCTACAATTTTGATAACTATAGGTACATCGTTTTGTTACATTACTACAATATAAAAATATATTATATTATGAACTAGAAGTGCATTCACAACTACCATTAGTCTTCAAACGAATATTGCACCGCCGCGGCCATACAGCCGTCTGCCGCTGCTGACGGAGAATACTTTGGGAACTGATTATTTCTTTTGGATGATATTAACATTGTCCAGCGTCTGGCGTTATCTCCAAAAATACCCTATAGGAAATAGTAACCGAACCGGTTGACATTCAATTCCTAAATAATATCATTTAATGTAATGTAACAAAAACGAACATATTAATTTCCTAATATATTTTGGATTTCTATCTAAATACCTCCTACATAAAAAAAAAAATACAAATATTTTCATATTTAAATAAAATATGTATTTTAGTTCCTGTTTTCTTAATTCACTGTACTTATTAAATAAAATCTTTTAAATTTGTACCACCAATTATTTTACCCACGAGCCACCACTGTGTTATGGTAAAAAAAATTTAAATTAGATGTATAAATATTAAATACAATAATAATATTTGGTTCAAGTTAAAAATTAAATATAATTTAATCTGCAAACATTAGCATTGCATATAATTATATATAAATCGCACAAAAAACTAGAGTTTAGATGAAATCGTCAATTAGATATTATATTGTACAATTCAATAAAGAGTAGATAAACTATACGTATATAGTTTTATTTATTATTCATTGAATTAAAATTAAAAAAAATGTACTGAAAACTTAATTCTATGAACAAATATATACTGTAGGCGTATAATATTAAATTTCTTGTATTATTTAATATGGGCTTTCAATAGTTTTTTTTTTTTTATCATTAGCTTTTTTAACTAATGATCAAATAAAAACAACATTGACAAATAGTTTGGTAGATTATAACAATATTGTGAATAAAACAATAATCGAGTTAAACTACGAAGCAATTATGTATTGTACAATAATAATCATATTATGCTAGTAAGTATAATAAAAAATGAGGATCACTAGAAAACACTGGAACGCGAAAATCCACAAAGAAAAGACTGAATAAATTCGCCTAGCTTAATCGTATAAGATAAAGTTATGGTGCATTAGTTATTTTTAATTTAAA